TCAAGTGGATGTAGAAGTACATGTGCTAGCTTTTTGATTTTATTCGGACCATTCTGACACATGTAAGGCATCAGCTTCTGGGGTAAAGTTTTCGAATTGATCCCATAGACCACACTCTTGCTTGCTGCTGGGGTCAAATTACCGTAATATCTGTACTATAAGTGTGTAGACTCACTATAAGCAAGAAATTATACATAATATGGGAAAAGAGATGTTGGAGGTAGAAGCCTATAGTAGAACTTAGCAATTTAGCTATTTAGTGTTGAAATGATCTATATGGCAGTCAATGCAGTTTAAAATGATAGTGTAATTTTTGTTATTTGACTTATAGTTTATAAGGGATACGTTTGTTAGATGGAACTACAAAGTTATAGGCAAGGCAAGATTATTGGTATAGCCCTTTTCATACACAGAGCAACTCAAAATGAAATGCAAAAGAGGTATAGACTTTAAATCATACTGAAATCATAAATACAAAAATAATAATAATCTGGATTGGAAGTTTGTCAGAGTAGAAGCTGGTCTCACATTTTCAGAGAAACTGTTCTAGATTCTCATCAGTTAGTACCAAGGCGTATGTGACTGTATTTTACCACCTCAAAACACTTTTCTGTGCAAACATGATCGACCTTACAGAAAACTGATATTTATCTAACACAATATGAATGATAATACCAATGCTGTTTGTTGTCACAGACTTCAAATACAGCGATAGTGGGGTTTGGGCATAACAACACCCTTTTAATAGTATAATTTGAGTCCTGCAAGTGATGCCTGAAGCTATGCAATCTCACGTTTCCTCTGTGATAGTCATCGGTTTGTGCCTGTGCATACGTGTCAAATGGAGAATTGCCTCTCATTATAAATGTGGCTGTGCTGGAGCTTTCATTGCACTCGCTCCTCTTATAATCACACAGTGCATGTCTTCAAAAGCCTTGCAAATTGATGGGGAGGTATATAAGCCAGCGCGGAGCAAGTTTTACAATAGTAATTTTGGGCTTTGTTGTGCCTAATTATATTCAAGTTTTGGATTGAAGATGTATGCTTGTTGCTAATAATTATGATGCATTTGTAAACAGTAATTGATAACGCATGATGAGACAAATATAAATAACATTGTGGTTGTTTTGGGGACGGCCACAGCTCGGTCACACCCTGCTCCCTAAGCTCAGGGCTGAGGCAAAGGTCAAAGCTACTTGTTAAGTGAAAGGGGAGCTTGTTAGCGATCTATAAAACAGCTTTATACAAGTGTGTTTGGTTTGTGTGCACAGGAGGTGGCTAGCTAGCGTGCTAGTTAGCGCTTCTGTTCATTCCCTCTATAGTCTATTTATGTACGTTTCTTATTTATTTATTTCCATTAAAAATAGTTAAAGAATGATCCTTAGTTAAAGAATAACACCTTAATAACTTTTGGTATTTTGTGCGGATATGGCAGTCGTAGTGGTAAAGTTTGACGTTAGCATTTGTGGTTAATGCTAATTGTGACACCTATGACTCCACAAATCAAAGTATTTTGCATACCCAGCAAACAATTGGGCAGAAAGGGCAAGCACTATTTGCGACTCACGGCAACTTCCGGTGACTCGCGTGACTCAGGCGCTGTGAGCCGCGACTCAGCAGCCAGAAGTCGTGACTCACCGTTAAAAATAACACAATTCTTTGCTTCTCAGGGGTATCTGGGAATGATCAATGAGACAATATGGATCTGGAGGCATTGTTTACAAGTAATCAGTATGTTAGACACTCTACATCAGCTAGTATGTGTTTGTATAGCAGTCCATGTCCGTTAACCACTGACTCAGGCGCTGTGAGCCGCGACTCAGCAGCCAGAAGTTGTGGCTCACGGTTATCAATTTAGCTTTTTAGGGGTATCTGTTGATTATCAATGACACATTGTGGATCTGGAGGCATATATTTACAAGTAACCAGTATGTTACACACTCTTCATCATCTGGTATGTGTTTATATAGCTCTCCATGTTCGTTAACCACTGACTCAGGAGCTGTGAGTCGCGGCTCAGGAGCTGTGAGTCGCGGCTCAGGAGCTGTGAGTCGCGGCTCAGGAGCTGTGAGTCGGCGGCTGTGAGTCGCGGCTCAGGAGCTGTGTCGCGGCTCAGGAGCTGTGAGTCGCGGCTCAGGAGCTGTGAGTCGCGGCTCAGGAGCTGTGAGTCGTGGCTCACAGTTAAAATACAGCATATTTTTGCTTTTTAGGGGTATCTGGGAATTTCTAATGAGACTATATGGATCTGGAGGCATAGTTTACACGCCTACTTCACGACACGCCTCTGTCCTGCAGGCCGCAGAATGACTACTTCGAACCCGCAGCAACACCTTTTTGAACAGGTGTGGGCTTATTCTATACATTAGCACGTAGCTCAACATGTCCTTCCAGTGATGTGCGGCACCACTCTGCTGCTATTCATGACTGAGCTGTATATGTTCCTGTATTGGGAGACAAAGTAACAGCTCATGTGGAAACAAATGTTCATGTTATAGTGCAATGTGTGCAAATGTATTAGCTACAGCCAAGTGCAAAACTGAAATGTATCAAACCTAAACCAAATCTTTATTCTTTATAATTGGTCTATTAAAGTGAATTAAAAGTGCATTTTTTTATAAAGTTTGTTTTCCTTCTCTTCTGTGTGTGGCTCATCTTGATGTGTCGTCTCAGTAGTTCTGTAATTCAAGAATAACCGGTTAACTACACTTAATTTTTGCATAGAAAAGAAATGAGAGAAAAGAGGCATTAAGGAGGAAAACATGTCTTGATGGCTGCAGCATGACACCTGTATTTCCACTGCATTTGTATCCTGTATAATGCTCCAGGATCAGATGTTTAAAGGGTATAAGGGAGCTACACTTTTTGGAAACCCTAAAACATTTGATTCAGGATGATCACGGAGGCAGTTATGAGGGAAAGTACAGGTGCCATGCAGCAGTCATACAGCCACTGGGCCACCAAAGGCTCAAATAAGCATCTTCAAACATTTCACCACAACAGAAGTTACTTGAATTCTGTATTTTGAACATCTGGGTTCGGTAACATGATCATATAAAATTATGTCATTAGGGTCTTTCTCTTTAATTCTCTATTTACAATAGTAAGTCCACCTCAGCACACTATCCTCTAAAGTTAACAATAATCATTTTTTTTAGAATTAAAATGCCCTGAAATGAAATGCCCTGATGCTTGTGTTTGTTCAAAGACAAAGAAATCTCTACTCTGGGTTCTTGGCTCACTTTGTCATCCACATTATATTACTATAAGGACAAATTGGTACAAGTGGCTTTTATAATTGTGTTTGTTTGTGTATTGTATGTATTTTTTCAAATGCCTTTAGCATTATTAATAAATAACAAATAATAATGTCTCAGTGGTTTTTTAGTTATTTATTTCTTATGTGACCAAACCTGTGTTATACACCTTGCCTCATCTTTTGTCCTATGGAGTATACACTCTGCTCTGTATCTGCAAGTTTTGTGTATTCTTTGAAGCCACAGAATTACAACCAAGGAATTTTACACAAGTTTTTTTTTTTTTTCCTGTTTAAATTTCATGCCCTTTAAAATGTTAAAATGATTAAAAGACAGATTCCAAAAAACGAAACAAAATAACCTACCTCAATATTTTGGTGAAATTTAAATTGCAAGCGAGATGTCCAACGTCGTGCATGATTCAACATGAGATTAGACAGCGCCCCCTGGTGTCAGCAGACGAGTCCTGACTTATGTCTCGTAAGTCACTTGTTAACAATAGAGTAATACAAACACATATCAGCTGGTAAAGTATGTATGAGGCACTGAGGACATGGAAAATGTTCATCCAGATACATTAATAATTCATAAATACTCCTAAAAAGTCTTTTTCATTAGAATATGAAATAAGCCCTGCAAATACATGTAATAATCTGTATTTAGGCCTGTATCACTTAATCAACCACTTGCACTATGACTGTAAACCTGCGCTGCTAATACTGAGTCTGTTTATTTTACTAAGGATGCACCAATACCAATATTAGTATTGTGCCGTTTCCACATACTTGTGCTCATACTCATTCATGAGGTCCCATGACTGTATATAAGATACCACGATGGGGCGTCTTGCTTCAGTGGGAGCAGGTGGTTGTGGGGGCACGACCCCACGATCATTAGGTCCAAAGACCAAAGCTCTGCCAATTGAGTCACTGTTGCCCCTAATAATTCCCAGATACCCCTAAAAAGCACAGATTTGTGGTATTTTTAACCGTGAGCTATGACTTCTGACTGCTAAGCCGCGACTCACAGCTCCTGAGCCGCGACTCAGGAGCTGTGAGTCAGTGGTGAACAGTTCATAGAGATCTATACAAACAAATACCAGCTGATGAAGAGTGTGTAACATACTGATTACATGTAAACTATGCCTCCAGATCCATATTGTCTCAATAGAAATTCCCAGAAACCCCTAAAAAGCAAAGATTTGTGGTATTTTTAACTGTGAGCCTCGACTTCTGACTGCTGAGTCGCGACTCACAGCTCCTGAGTCAGTGGTTAACGAACATGGAGAGCTATATAAAACACATACCAGATGATGAAGAGTGTGTAACATACTGGTTACTTGTAAATATATGCCTCCAGATCCACAATGTGTCATTGATAATCCACAGATACCCCTAAAAAGTTAAATTGATAACCGTGAGCCACGACCCCTGAATGCTGAGCGTGAGCCGCGACTCAGAGCGCCTGAGTCACGCGAGTCACCGGAAGTTGCCGTGAGTCGCAAATCGTGCTTGCCCTCTCTCCAATTGGGTAGTCTCATTATAATTTTAAACTACATATGGTTTTTATATGTTTGATTAAGATGCTAATAGTGGTGCTAGCCTGCTACTGTATACAGAGCTCACGGCGCAAGATTTTGTATTTGTCAGGATGGATGTTGACAGGCGAACCAAATATGTTAATGGACAATTTCAAGCCAGATTTCATGCTGCAACAGTGTTAATTGATTTCTTTTTTCGCTTGCAGCAACGTTCGACCGGTAAATATCTTCTTGACCTGATAAGTGTCCATCTGAACCTGACTGAGGGGGACTACTTTGGGCTGGAGTACCAAGACCACCGCAAGATGATGGTAAGAGATGTCTGCAGGACGTTTTGTTCCGGAAAGCTCAGTATTCATTAGACAGAAATACAGGAAGAAAAACTAACAAAACCCCAGCAATGCCTTTTTTATTGCCTTTTGGCCCATGGCGACTTCCAACAATATCCTCTTGTTTGTTTGTGTGGCTTCAGAAACACATGATGACTTTTTCCCTCATGTTTTAGTCCAATAATGAGACACAAACTGTTAAAAAGGACTCATAAATGTCTCAACTAGTTTATTATTTCACTGTTTTTCTTTTGTTACTAGATCCATATAAAAAAATCAAATTGCTCAGTTTTGATCACTCTTCTTGACTCGTTCTTGGTTGACGAGTGAAATATTTTCCTATACACATTTCTTGAACATATTGACATTTATTAGTCATTGTCAATTAACATATTAGTATAATTCACAGTTCAAATGTTCAACACAAAATGCTCAAAAAACCTATGCCCAATCATTGACTTTTTTAAAAGAACTAAACCGCAATCCTGTTGTTCCCTTTTAAAATATACAGCTGTCACAATTCATCAAACTCAAAACAAAATTAGAGGTTTGAATCCCTCCATGCAAACTGAACACTGGAGTTGACCCCTAAAATCAAATTGATCGTATCTCTCTTTCATCTCCCCCCGTGATATCTCCACCTGGATCCCTCTCCGGCGAACCTGTTTTCCGATAGACAGCTGGTTGTAATAACACACACGCTGGGCTGTCCGTGCCAGGGGCCATATCTGTCAGCCGTGAAGAGAAAAGGCTTTGAATCAGTAGACTCGATGGACTGAATCTCCACGGCCACAGTGTGATCCAGTGGAACAAATAACAAAAAACGCCATTAGATAGTGAGTGACATCATTGTCTGCATACGGGTCGTGAAAAACTGAGCAAAGCGATCCCGGGAATTCATTTTGACAAGAACTGTGATGCTTTTAAATGCCCTCTATAAAGCTAGCCAGCTATAAAATGCAAATTATATGTTGGCTTGAAGGCATAGGAGCATGGTCAGATTTGTATTTCATAAAATGTTGGTTCAAAAATATTGTTTTGTCTTTTTTTTTCTAGGTTTGGCTGGATTTATTGAAGCCGACACTCAAACAGATAAGACGTAAGTAGAACATATACAAAGTTTTAAAAAAAGAATTACCAATATGTGGGAGAATATAGCAAGATAAATGGAAGACTTAACCCTTTATATTCCAAGTTTACCAAATCCTATACTTATGAAAGGTTTTAATAAGCAGTTTTTGTCCCTAAATAATAGATAATTGAATGTTTTATCTTTGATCATTAACTTGCATTATAGATAGTACATTGTTTTTGTCCCAGCTGAATGCAAAAGTAAAATGTTGTGACCAAATCAGACCACAGCATTGTGTTTTTATCTACATGTCAGAAAGAGCCTTATGAGTCTGATAGTTGGTGGTCTTCTCTTGCTTTTGCATTTTTGTCGGAAAGATTCTGATCTCAACATGTGTCAGAGGTGATATAATGCATGCGTGTGAAAATTAGTGATGGAACCCAAACTATTTTTTTTTATGTGCTCAGGGACTACAGGTGTAAATTAGCACTGCTGCTACAACCTGCTACAATGCATCCCTCCTTTTGGCTAATGTTTTTTGTACACTGTCCCTTTAAAAATAAAAACCATACCATACAGGGATCATAAAGCATCTGTCTATAATCAATTCACAAAGTCAACACCCATACAAAACTGTAATTCAGGTAATTTTCTCTCAACAAAGAAACCTCAGATAGCGATTTGAATTATTTGAATTTACCCAGTCTGTCCATATATACTGTTTGGCAGCTAACCACAATGACAAAAGACAACACACAATTCCTAAAATCCTTGACGTTTGGTTATTTGTACAGCCATCTTATATCCAACTTCTCTCTCTTCCCATCCATTTCCTCTGCAGGACCCAAAAACACCATCCTTCGCTTCGTGGTCAAGTTCTTCCCTCCTGACCACACGCAACTCTTGGAGGAACTCACACGGTAAGTCTCCCTGGGCCCACCTATCCCAGAAGGCAAATTAAAAGGCTGAATCTTCAATTTCTCGGCATAGGCTCTCTTTTTGGTTGCACTGCGGAGTTGGATGCCATTTAATTCTATTTTCATACATCCCCGTGTTCTTTGGCGAGCCGCAAACATTAGCGACGTGTCTGAAGTGTAGGAGTGTAAATGTTTGTAGAACTTTTATTACGGAAAGGAGGAAAGATGAGAAGATGAATGTGTTGATAGTGTTTTATTTGATTACAGTTTTTTGGAAGGCTGCGCTAGAGTCGAATAATATTGGAGATGAATTGGACTTTTTGCTTTTGGAATAACTCTATACACAGGAAGTTAGGTCCACAGCACTTTGTATACCCTTGGGTCTATTTAAAAAGGAGGACAAGTAAACTGTGTGACCACTTCAAAATGGCCATCGTCCGCCTCAGCTGGACACTATTTATCTAAACTCGATTCGTGCCAAACCTCATTCATTCATTAGACAAGATGTTGGCAGCAGGGTTTGGATGCGTTTAATGACTGTACCAGAATATTAACTACCCAAAAAAAATAAAAAATGTAACTTTTGTTAGCTAATAGAATGCAGCAACATTACTTTCACTATATAGTTTACAGTGTGTGCTATTTCCCCGTGTTTTCTGAGACCATAGCCCATGGCAATGTAATAAATGGAGGTGATAACAACTTTTTTTTTCTCCTCCAACTTTTGTTTTAGGTATTTGTTCGCACTGCAGGTTAAACGTGATCTGGCGTGTGGTCATCTGGTCTGCAACGACACCAGTTCGGCCCTCATGGTTTCTCATATCATTCAATGTAAGTAGTGCAGTATATGGAAACCCAGTGCTTTTGGGGAACGCAGAATTAGTTCAGTCAAAGCCATAGTTTATTGTAATGGAGCATTGTATATGAATACTTTATGGAACGGGAGAACAGTGTCACGTATTTCTGTGTGTTTGCAAAAGTTATAGGAGTAATCAAGTGGCAGGTCAAAGATTGCATATTAGAAAAAAAAGTAGTGAGTGGTTTTTAGGTGTGCAAAAATACATGGAAAAAAACATTCTTCGATGGACATCAAATAAAATATATTCAATGACTTTAGTGCCGTTTTTGTGAACACTGGTCCTTTGTCTATCGTGGGGTTTATGTGTTCTAAAAATAATCGTCAAAAAGTGAAATCCTTGAAGTTAAACACTTTTCACATTGTAAGCAAAGTATTTAAAAAAGAATCAAACATTACTCTGACAGTTTCACTGCATCTGGTTCTGACCAAAGAACTGCTGCTATGTCTGTTGTGTTGTTCAAAGTAGAAATAATCAAAACTCACGGTGGTTGAGGTTAAAAAATTATGTTTTTATTTCTGAATTATTTCTTTTTCTATTATACATGTTTTAGTTGTAGGGGAAACCGGAGTACCCGGAGGAAACCTACGCAGACACGGGGAGAACATGCAAATCCACACAGAAAGGTCCTGGGGGACCTTTTCACTGTGAGGCACAAGTGCTAACCACTGTGCCACCGTGCCGCCCTCACAGCGTCTGTCTGACCCCACATGTTCTCAGCCCAAAGAGCTTGGTCTTGAGCAGAACTTCAGCTCAGAGCTTGATCTCATGGTTTTAACCAAAACATGGAACACATCCTCATTTTGTTCATTTCATTCCTCATCTCACCTTGAAGCAGCTGTCAATCGCACTTTACTGAAGGGAAAGGCCCGCCCCCTCCTCTGTGAGACCTACAGCTGCAAACAAGGTTCAAAGTCCAAATGAAATGAACAGAATCTAGATGTGTCCATGAACAAGGTTCAGACCATGAGACCAAACCAGAGTCTGTCCCAGTCTCCTCCAGACCAGACTCAAAGGACCTGAACATGTGGTGTCAGCAGCTCTTCTGCTGCCCTCATCCGGTCTGCTCAGACCCAATGATGAAAATGTCAAGGTCAATGTCAAATTTATCTAAATAGCATATTTAAGATGCCAAAAGCCCAAAGTGCTTTAAAAATGGTCTAAAAACAAAATAAAAACAAAACATTTAAAACAGGCAAAAAACAGAAATGTGAAAAGAGAGATTCAGCTCAACGCAAGTTAAAAGGCCAGTGAAAAGAAATGGGTCTTAAGAAGGGATTAAAAAGGATCCAGTGAATCAGCGGCTCTGACCCACGGTGGAAGATTGTTCCAAAGCGTTTAAGTTCGTGGACCATGTGGCGCTTACAAGGTGGTTGCAGCCTCAGGGATTTTCCCGTGGACCCTGAAGCTGTACAGACAGGTGTAGTCCTCCAGGCCATGGTTGGTCAGGACCTCCAGCTTCACAAACCTGAAGATGTTGGAGGTGTGCTCCTTGATCTCAAAGGTCTGGAATGAGTCTCCGTCAGACTCGTACTGGAAGGTCCCCAGGTGGACTTTGGGTCCATCCACTTCCTCCAGTCCATAAAGGGCGAAGGCCTTCGGAGCCGACAGGATCTCCCCTGTGACCGACTGCTCTTTAGAGATGTGCCCCACAGTGATGTGAGACACATGGATCTTCTGAGACAGGGCCACAAACAGCTCTCCTGTCTGGCCAGAGAAGGCCCAGCAGTGCCCAGGGACCAGAGGGTAATACTGGCCTTTGATCACCTCCCATGGAGAGTAAGGTGTCAGCCAACTGGGAGAACCCTTTTGTTGGTGGGTGCTGGAGCTGAAGGCGGTTAGGACCTGAGCTCCATGCGACGCCAACGCAAAGTTCCCCCAGAGGGTGGCCTGAGGGTGCGCCATGGTCTGCAGACGTCCCAGATCCTGCTGGAGATGATGCAGCTCCATCCTCAGGCTCCGCAGGTTTACCTGAGAGACCACCAGGGACGTCAGGGAGAAGAGGAGCTTCAGGAGCAAGCCCCAGCTGAACCAGTTGAACCAGCGCCAAGACCTGGTCTGTTCAGACCTCTGGACTGGCTCAGACCTGTGGACTGGCTCAGGCCTCTGGACTGGCTCAGACACACGGACCTGAGGGGGTCTCACCTGGTCCTGGGGGAAACTGTGACGTCGAGTCCCAGTGGAGTAGGAGATGCGGGGGCTGCCGTCCACATCGTAGTACCCCGCATTCTCAAGTCGCACACTTCTGCGCGCCATTCTAAAATGTACCAACAATATTTGTCAAAGTAAAGGATATTAGCGCTGAGCTGAAGTCTCTCTGACCTGAAGTCTCTCTGACCTTAAGTCTCTTTGACCTGAAGTCACTCTGACCTTAAGTCCCTCTTACCTGAAGTCTCTTACCTGAAGTCACTCTGACCTTAAGTCTCTCTGACCTTAAGTCTCTCTGACCTTAAGTCTCTCTGACCTGAAGTCTCTCTGACCTGAAGTCTCTCTTACCTGAAGTCTCTCTTACCTGAAGTCTCTCTTACCTGAAGTCTCTCTTACCTGAAGTCTCTCTGACCTGAAGTCTCTCTGACCTGAAGTCTCTCTGACCTGAAGTCTCTCTGACCTGAAGTCGCTCTGTCCCAGGCTGGAGTCACAGTATCTTGGAGTACATTTGAACAAGTCCATACAAGTTTGAACGAGTGATTTAACCCATAGGTTAAATCAGATTCCCTTTATGACATAACATTTCCATGGCAACCAGGTAGAATGGATTTCTATTCCATATGTTCTTGTTGCCATGGTGACCTCTGGAAGCCACTTCCAACAGCATTTTGAGTTAAACTGAGGTCCTACCAACTTGGTTTATTATGACTGAGAATATTACAGATGATAATATCAGGTAAATACAAACATCTGCAGAGGGTCCTGTTGTAGTGAGAGTTTGACACAAGTTCAAAATAGTAGTGTGCTGGAGTTGGAGCAGTGTCATGTTCTATAAATGCTAATGCTAATATGCTAAGTAAAAACGAAATATTAAATGCACTGGAACTATTTGATCAAGATAATTTGTATTTTATTCACATTTTTGCGGTTTGTTTTTGTGTTTTGACGACATGTGAGGATGAAAGTGTCTAATAAAAGTAGGGCTGTAACGAGTAATTGAAACACAAATGTGCGTAATCAATCATGTACTGCTCTATATACAGACTACAACACGTGTATGTGCTGAGAGAGGAGATTTTAAGACCAAGAAAGAGCAGTCATTGCTTAAACCTTAAAACGGTAATCGTGTAAATGTGTAATTTTTCATTTTAAATCCAGTTTTTTTGTGTGGAAATAAAGAAGGAAGAGGATGCTGAACTTCACTATATCTGGGCCAATTTGAAATGATCACATTTACTTTCTGAACGAATAAATTATTAATTGAAAGAATATTCTCTAGATTAATGGATCACCAAGTTACAGCCCTGAAATAAAGTAAAATATTCAGTTGCCTGTAAATTCCCAAGTGGCATTATGTTAAAACTTATATATTTTCTTCTGAATAAAATTGTTTGAATTCAGGATTTTGACCGTTCACTACTGCTTGATGAAGCTGTCCTGGATTATTTATAAATAACTCATAGTAATTTAAGCTAAGGCTTCCTGCAATTTCATTTTAATCTAGATAAACAAATAACATAATATAAGCTACATACACAAAAATACCTAAATATAGAATCCTAACCTCAATTCGTGCTGTAGACCTTTCCACTTTTACTGATAGAAGTGCCAGGCAGATGCAAAATTGAATTAATTTGAGGTGCAGATGTAACCTCTCTGGTGAAGATTGAAGCGTGCCCCGCAGACAGTGACAGGTTGCGACGCAGCATGCACACATCCCATACGTCTGCGTCGCCATGGCAACCGTGCTGCTGTTGCTGCTGGGGTTATACGTGTAGCTGCAGGTGGCCAACTCTGAGAAGGGCCTATTGTTGCTTGCAACGAAGAGATAGGAGCACACGCATCTGTATAGTAGAGTAGCAATGTATTGACGGTAGCTCATTCCCCCCACTCCCCCTACTACCCCCACGCCCCCACTCTCTTGCCTCCTCTCCTCCACTTCAAATAATGACTGTGTTTTCCTCCCATTCTTTCTGCCTGTCCCCTCAGCGGAGATTGGGGACTTTGACGAGACACAAAGCTGGCAGCATCTCCTCCACAATAAATATTTGCCGGACCAGGACGCCATCCGGGACAAGATTATGGACTGCCACCGGAAGCATGCGTGAGTAGCTGGAGTACGAGAAGGAGGAGGACAGCAGTTCCACACTCAGCCGATATGGATACTGCTTGGATAACCAAGTCCAAAATAAATTCCAGTACATTTGTGTTGAGATGAATTGACTGAGCAGCAGGAACCAAATTTTTCTCAAAGGTCACAACCAAACCAAACTGCATTTCCAGTCAGATGCTTGAAGTTAAGTAGCAATACAGAGTTGTATATAAACGGAGGATTTGCAACAAGTAGAAGGGGATGTAGTGTGGAGAAGGCATATTAATTTGACCGATTTTGTAAAATAACACCAAAGTTGGAAGTTGCACACAGTGTGTCTTTGTTGAGAGTATTTTTGATGAATTAGAAATGTTGCAGAACTGCTCCCAATTGCCAGACGTTGCCAGATTTGTTTTTTTCCATCATGATAACCCACATTACCCCCAAGACTTTAGTTGTCAAAGTTGATCGAGTTTATATATTTTTACACTGGCAGATATATAAACCCTTTAACCCCCGAACATTGAAAAAAAGTTTATGAATCGTTCCTATGATCCACAAGTGCTGATTTTATGGCTTGCTTTCAACAATATACACATACAGACACAAGCAAAATATTATCTGATATTTCAACTCGATACTTCAATTGTGTAGACATAATAAATTAGAGGAGTTGGAAGGGGCGGCCATGTTTTCTTAAAGCTTTGCACACGATCTCATTGAATACATGAGTAATCTTGCGTTCCGGGTGGCATTCCAAGGTGTCAGATTAGATTAGCCTACACCTCAACACCTATAGTTACTCTGGTTCAACAGGGGCTCCCAGAGAGATCTATCTGTTTACGTTAACGCAAACAGAAACACAAATATGTCCACACCCAGCCCCTAATTCCAGCTCCTGCCAAGATGCTTATCACCCGACAGAAAGACGTTTTTAATCTCTGGCTTGTTGCTGCTGGCATGGGACGACCAGGGCTTTGAGGCTACTATGTCACAAGGACATTTGGTGTGTTGTGTATAGAGATCAAAAAATATGATTGCGCAAACTGAATCCTGAAAATGGGTGTCAAGATTATCATGTAAGCTATCAGGTTACAACTAACATGATGCAAAAACTAGACACCAGACGGACGATCATAGATTCCGTGTTCCGTTTCTTACTCGTTTGCGTCAAAGCGGTGGAAAGATTATTTGTGTGTTTAAGAGCAAGGGTCAAAAATACCCATTTATCAAGTAGTTTTCTAATGATGCAGCCCTGGTTTGAAAGAAGACTTTACCAGCAAAGACTGTTCGATTATTGAATGTATTTTTGACATAAATCTGCGTCTCTCAGATGTAACTTAATACATTTGTAATAAAAAAAAAGAATAAAATAGCCATTGATTTCAGAAGGATCAGGAATTTGGATAATGTTGTTTTGAACAGACGCATTTTTTTAAACGTTGTGGGAAAACGTCCCTAAACCCTACAAGTATCAAGTTATTGTGTGTTTTCAAATAGTAATGGAATTGCCCAGATGTCTGTAGTCTCCAAACATTTATATTTATGTTTTGGAGCAGACTGATAAAAATAAACCAATGGGATTTGTTCCTCCCCGTTTTCCGCCCACTCTCCCTGTTGTGACAAAGAAAAGAAAATGCTGGATGTTTGGTTTGGTGGAGAGGGAGGGGAGGGGGGAGTGGTTTGAGATGGTGCTACAGCTAAGCTAACAAAATGGCTTACTGCACCTTTAAGTAGTAATTGTAAGACATGTAATGAGTTTTTTTTCATATCTAATTTTACTCTTATAACTTGCACCTTGAGCCAAAGCAAATTCCTCGTTTGGGATTTCCTGTTACTTACAATGACAACAAAAATATTCTGATTCTGATCACTTTACAAATTCGGTTCGATGGAAAGCAATTAAAAATTTATTTCAAACTGATGATGATCTTTTTAAATGCTAAAATGTCCTCTAATGATGTACAGGAGGCGAAAATGGACAACTAGACCCTATAATCTCCCCTAAATGTAAACACATACATTACCTCCTTATCTTTCAACACTGAAGATTATCACAAACACTTTTTTCAGCCTTCTTTTTCCTAGAACAGTATTGTCTTTGCTGCTTCGCCACATCCAAGTTTACGACCCGAGCGGCTTGTGTTGTGTTAATCCATCACAGTGTTAACTTTGCGGTGGCTTTGATGGCTGCCCCGCTGTGAACCACAAAGCTGCGCTCCACTCGGGAAGGAAGTGCCTCGTTCAGATGCCGATACAGGAAGCCGGAAGCCATTTTCACATTTGGAAGGGAAATGCATTGCTTTTCTGGCACATTTTTTCACCCCTGCCATCTGATTTAGCTGTTATTATTAGATGACTTGCTATTTTCTTTACAGTCACCACTTAATTTAGCTCAATTTGTAGGCATCCTGAATTGGCCACTTTTTTTTTACACTGCAGAAAGAGTAAAAGCTTGCCCGAATTAAGATTTTTAACTTTACAATCATATTTGTGAATCACCATCTTCACGAACGGTAATATTCTTTAACCATAGTGGGTTTTTTCAAGACTACTTGTATCTCAAATCATTATAGTTTTTATTTATTCATATATTTATTTGTATTTGTTTTTTTTTTTCATAGTGTGCCTTACATACATGTGAGTTACATAATGAATTTCTCTGTACATTTAAACTTGCGTTGACTATACGTGTCCATTTATATTTGATTATTATTTCTATCTACTTATTTATTTTTCTACGTTTCTTCTAAGTAGTTTCAGTTATAGTTTTACGATAACTTACGATAACTACGATAAGCTCATCTATCTATAAGTCCTCTCTCATGTCTTTGTATTGATTTTCCCCACAGTGGGCAGACACCAGCAGAATCGGACTACCAACTGCTCGAAATCGCCAGACGTTTGGAGATGTATGGCATCCGTTTGCACCCGGCCAAAGACCGAGAGGGGACCAAACTTAGCCTGTCAGTGGCTCACACCGGTGTGCTAGTATTCCAGGTAAAACACAAGACATAATCGATATTTTGACATAAAAAATCCACTAATATGCCCTTTTGCCAACATAAACATTACAGTTTGTTGAAGCCAATTATTACTTCAAATACATACAGTATAATAATGTAATGTAATACTTTGTCTAGTTATGTTCTAGTTCTCTGTAGGTCAAATTGTAAATATAGGTTTTACAATGTTGCTTTAGCATTTCAAAGCGTTAGCACTATGCTATTTCTAAGTCATTCCATAATAACTTAAACGCTATGGGTCATGCAAAGTTGAGCTATGGCTATTTATTGGCCTAGTGTCAGGAAGATTTGACCACAGTGACCTAATGTATTCTTTTTAATGAGTCTATTACAATACAATCAGCAGTTTAAATGTGGTAAGAAACTGTATTTTTCTTTCTACAGGGGTACCTTAAAATAAATTCTTTCAATTGGGCCCGGATTCGCAAACTCAGCTTCAAACGAAAGAGGTTTCTCATCAAGCTGAGAGCCGAACCTGCTGTAAGTTAACGGCAAAGCACTTTGAAAATTCTCCTCCCTTTTTAGAATATCAATTTTGAAAAATCGATTTCTGTATTCATGATATAGCAAAATGCCCACCATGACACCCTGGAATTCGCCATGGCCAGCCGGGACTGCTGCAAAATTTTCTGGAAGATTTGTGTTGAATACCATGCCTTCTTCAGACTTTTTGAAGAGCCAAAACCCAAGCCTAAACCCATACTTTTTACCAGAGGATCTTCTTTCCGCTTCAGGTAAAATGCTTTTGTTACACTAATAATTGTTTGGACTTTTTTTTTTATATTAACCGCATTTTCATGTTTTCCCCAGTGGTCGAACCCAGAAGCAGATCATTGATTATGTTAAAGACTCCGAAGTGAAGAAGGTCCCATTTGAAAGGTAAACCTGTATGTGTATCTTTGCGAAACGTTTGCCATTTGCCCAATTTCCCCTAATGCAATCTGGGCTGTACCTAATCAGCTCCAATTAGCGGGAGGGACCCAGACCTATAATAAAATGGACTGTTTGCTGAACTCGCTCTGACCACAGCTGTTGTATTTGTCTCGCCTCAGGAAGCACAGTAAGATCCTGTCCAATAGCGGCCTGCCGTCCCAGTCCTCCTCATTCAGGTCACAAGTGCCAAGAGAGGTAATGACATTTAAACTGCAACAGATGGCGACGTGGCAATCGCTGTATGTTCTTATGCTCTTGTTCTGTGGCTTGTGGTTGGGGGCTATCGCAATCTTTTCGGGAGCAGCAGTACATTTTCATCTCTGGTCATCACTGGTCATCACATTCATTTATAATACACATATGTATGGTTAGATTGTGAGATTCTAACCATGTTGCAGCATTGCTCACTAATCCAAAGCATTCCTGGAGTTCTTTAGCATCATCCACTATAATTTCAGGAATTTACTGCCCTTGCATTGACTTGTCATAACAGGTAAAACATTACTTTACCCGTTAAGATCATTCCCACTGCCACCAGATGATGCCATGCTGATACCAGACCCTCAGAAGGTTTGTGCGGTAAAGATATGCGACTATTAAACGTATCTTTACCACACAGACGTTATTTCAAGTTGTATAGCATGACGTGTTAAAACAAAGTTACTCAGTCCAGTTTGAGACCTTAATATTGGAATTTTCAAATATTTAACTTAATGAATTGTGAGTTTGCACGTCCAATGAGGTGTATTAGCCTAATGTCGGATCAATGTAAAGAGATCTCCTTGTATTATGTGTGTTTTTGTAGAGCGCTTTTTCCATCCCGCTAGCAGACCAGACCGACTCCACCAGATTCTCCGAACTGAACGGCAGCCAGCAGATCTCGGTGACCAACAACAACGGCTTCCACGACTTCATGGCTCCGCCCAAAGCGCTGAATCACCATGGCAACGGGCCTGCACAGGACCAGCACCACCTTAACCCAGGTCCATCCTGCAGGGCTAACAAAGGCAGCAGTTCATCTATCCCATACATAGACTGCAGCGACATAGACAGTGAATCTGACGTAAAGAAAAGCAGCCGGGCAGCTAGGGGGCGCTGCAACGAGGACATGCAGCATCATGCAGGGCAGGTTGGCGGGATTTTTGGCGCGGTGAATGGTTTCTACCACACTAATCACCAAGGTTTGATGAGAAGCAATGGTCAGTCTCCGAGCAAGTTTGTCCACGAGGTTCCAGATGATGTTGATGATGAGGTGGTGCCAAACGGTAGCTCATTCCACGGTCGCGTCCCTCTCCACAGCACATTGTTGGACGAGATTTTCCAAGGGAGAGATATCAGAGGCGTTGCGCTAGGCCGGCCGCTTGGAACGGGAACGCGCAGCCAGTGCTCTAGCCCAATTATCAGCAGCTTCCATCCACGCACCAGTTCGCTAAGCCACGAAATGGCAAATAACCAGCCACGCTCGCCTCCGCGCTGGGACGACGGCGGCCATTACTTTAGCAAACGCCCCGGTTCAGCGCTCATGGAAACGCCCTCAAATCTCCCTCAACCTTTCACCCCTCCCCCTTTGCCGCAACTGAACCATTATGGTAGCTATTCGCCGATTTTATCCAATCGCCCTCACATGGCGCTCAACAATAACAACATGCGAAACCGCTCAGACACCGATCCGTTCATTCTCAGCCAGATCACTTCCACGCCAATTCACCACAAACATCACATCTTGACCCAAACTCCGAATTCGGCGCCGATGGAACGCAAAGTTCTGACCAACGGCAATCACAAGGCGAACCTCAGGGTACCGGGTCAGGTCCGATCGAATACCGTCCAGCGTATGTTCGGCCGACAGGGGAAACCGTCAAACAACAACCAGCCGGTGCAAATGATTGACGGGTCGACCAGTAGCGGTACCGATAGCGACGGCGATTCAGACACCGGGAGCAGCGTCTATAGTCAGCCGCTCATGTACGGAAACCCGTGCGCGGTGAGTTCCCGGAATTCGGTCAATTCCAACGGCATCAGTTCGTCACCGGTGGTAAATAGCAAGTTTTCGTTCGCGAGCATGCAGGTGGACGAGGGAGAGGATGGAGAGGAAGAGGAGGGGTGTTACCGGTTCAATGAGGAAGAGGTCGGAGGTCAGCTGTTCAATTGTTGAGAGCTGAATTTTGCTTTGTTTTGTACAGTCGCAAGTTTCAGTGAGCTAGAATGGGCTTGCAAATTGGAAGATACCAGTAAGATTTAATTTCAGATGAGAATTCCAGCATTTTATATCAAAACTGTTCTATCTGGATAGTGTTGTTTAAAGCAAGAAATCATAATCCGCCATTTTGTGCCATAACCGAAAAATCTGTAAATAGTGTAGATGTGGGCAATGAATAACAATTTTGGATGGATGCAATTATAATGACGTAGTTTGTAGACATTTGTAATACTTTTTAGTACTAGTACAGTTTTCTAATTGAGATTTTGGACTAGCTTTTGTATATTTAATGTGTATTTGACGTCTTGTGAAAAGGATTTACTTTAAGACAGCTGGAGATGGAAAGTTGTGAAGACGAATTGTTTGTTGTTTGCCGATTCCTCTAGTGTCGGATTATTCACGCCACACCCCTTTATCGATGAAGTTGCTTTGAGTAGGGATTGCGTACGTGTTGATATGAATTTTACATTTTGATTTTTTAAACAAACATTAGCTAACTATGGGCTAGCTTGTCCTTCTTTATTCCTCTGCACTTTTGAATGTTTCCTGTCTGTTGCGGGCTCTGTTACACTGTAATCTTGAGGTTGGGACATTTTGTAGAATTCTTCATATTTACGGCCAGGACAGACGTTTCTTTTTGCATCCTGTGTATTTGAATAGCAGGAAATATGGAGCATTTTTTTTGTTATTCGTTATAGCCATTTGTTCTAAATTTGCATGTTCCTTCCTTCCTAGTTTGATTTTTACACACAAAAACCTAACTGCAATGGAATCTGACACGCCAGCCATTTTGTTGAAAAGGTCCATTCATTATATCAGCTTTGCCTGGCTTGGCCCTTACCTGCTGTTCACCCACTTAAAAATAGTCGCACTTTCAACCCATGTTTTATTCAATTGGGTTTAGAACAACTTTCTTTTGACAGTGTGACAGTTGTAAATGTTTGCATTTGCTAGGACTATGTCGAGGAATGTGTTGTATTGATTCTAATGTATCTATACGCACTCTTTATTTAGGTCAATTCTGATAGGAAAATAACTTATATTTGTCATCACAGGTCTTCTATGTCTTTTCACTTCTGCACTGCTTCCTGCTGCTTTTCAACTGCACTGTTTTGAAGCATGTTGGTGGGCAAACTGCTAACTTTTCTCTAAATGCATGGTATAAACTGTTCTCCCTTTTTTCTTTTCACACTTTGTATTCACTCAAATGGCTTCTCATACTTGCAAAATAGTGTTTGTTTGTATTATTTTGTGTTGGGAAGTCATTCGAGTGCACAAAAACAAAACATGGTCGATCCAACTTGAAAAGCTAATGATCAAATTCTGACTGGAACTTATATTTTCAAATTCAATTTTTTCTTAATGCGGCAAACAAGTTGGAAATGTCTTGTTTTGCTTCCACTGGCTGTAATTTTGGCACTTGCTGCAACCCACTAGTATTGTGTAACATGTATGTGCACTGCAAGCTTAAAATGTGAGCTTTGTTAATGAATTTGAATGTTCATGCAGCTTTCAAAAGTGGCTCAATTGATTGTGATGCAACTGAAAGGGCAGCATCCCTTTTACCACTGCAATTTTCTTTTCAACCCCTTTATTTTCTGTCTTTTTTCCCATCTTCTTGTACCGATTGTGAGCACCTAGTATCAATAAAATCAACATGAATACAAAAAATGTCAAGGAAATTTAATATTCATGCCATCTGCCGTCCGTTGTGTGTTGTAGAGTAGCATAGACACTAGACTGTGTGTGCGTGTTTGCCATACTTCCATATTTGTTCAGTAGCAGTAGTTGGTGGTATTGTAGTTTTTGAGGTTTTTTTTATAGCACCCATCACAGATCTGCACTCAGTGGTTGCCATGGTTTTACCCATGATCCCGGGTGCTGTGTAACAGTGGACTCGGTGGAAAAAAGGGCAAGTATGAATTCAGTACATTGTAGCCCATCTTGTAGAATTGATAGTTAGGTTCTATCATACAATATTCCGTCACGTTTATGTGTCCATGGCCAGTTTGCTATTCTTGGATTTCAGCTTCCTGTCATCGTGCAAACTGCTATGTTATTGCTATCCCTTTTCACCTTCAACTTTCTTTCAACATTATTGATTTGCTTCTATTTGCTAACTTAATGCTAATGCTTCAATATTCATCCTTTACGGTGCACTCAACTTTTCTGATTGGGTCTGCCACTTTGGTGCTTGGAAGTATATGACATGATTAAGGGCTGTAAAGTATTTTTATTTTGATCATCCATAGTTGGGATATTATTCTTTTAAATTAATCTATTAGTTGTTTAAATCTGTAGAATATAGGATTTGTGTTGTTGTTAACCAAAGCATCACTTCATCAAGAACATATAGAATACAAATTATTGATAGTTTGACTTGAACAATAACACAAGTCCATGTCCTTCTATGGTAATTTTAGCTCTTGATTCCTTAAAAATACTTCAATAATCAATTAGCTGCATTTAATTATGACCCGTTCTTTTATGATTTATTGCAATTGTCTTGTAACTTGGCCTAGTAAATGTATCTGGACAATACAATGCAATACTGTGTAACATTTCAGGCAAAACAACATAGATGTAGACGACCCCAAGCACAAAGCGGCCCCTCCAATAGGAAAGAAGTGCCCCTTTAACATCAATTAATATATATCTGTTCTTTCGCAACCTGTGGGGACATGTTACATAGTCTGGTCTCTTTCATACATTCAAAACATGTGCGTAGATTTGATACCAGTCACTGTAGTGCTTTTCCACTTCACTCTCTGATTTATGCTTCCCTTATTTTGTTCTTCTCATTCTCTCCTCCCCCAGGCAGCCCAGGTTCAGAGGATTCTCCCCTGGGAAGCCCCCGTGTGGCAATTACCGGTACTTCTCCGGCTAATGCCAGGGACCCCCTTATCGTCTCTTCTAACCCCCCAATCCCAGACGCACGGCAGCTCTCTCCCCTCACCAGCCCGCTGCTCATAGACGCTGGCTACGTCCGGAACGAGGACGAGGAAGAAGCCCGCAGAAAGGTGGGCGGTGTGGAATGTTGCACACAATTTCAAAGTCTATTTTTTGGATTACTTAATGCTTTGTTTTTGTCCAGAAGTTTCCCACAGACAAGGCCTACTTCATCGCCAAAGAACTGCTAACCACGGAGCGGACCTATCTCAAGGACCTCAAAGTCGTTACAGAGGTAAGATGGAAAAATGTCCCCACGTCAACGCTGTTTTTAACACGTTCTCACATCTTTTCTGCGGGGCCAAGATTATAAAACTATACGGCTGTTGATGAGGGATAGACGCCCAAGAATGTGCAAGTTTAGAAGATGATTTACCAGTTTATATTTTTCATTGCATGTTGGTTTTGAAATCTTAATTATTAACAGTTTTTTTCTACAATTCTATTTTCTGAACTCTGAATAAGACCTACTTTTTTACTTAGCCTTGGATGTCCCACAGTGCAGCATTAAACCTGTCCTAAAAACAGCAGTTTCTCAGTTTAGTTGATTGTTTTGAGGGAAAATGTACAAAACTTTAGAGATCCGTAGTCTCTGGCCCGGTGAGTACACACACATTTAACATAACAATTATATATGAATACTTGCCTCACTTCAAAGTAAAACTCCATAAACGCATTTTTCTAAACTGCTTATACTTGTGTTGAGATGGTTTTGTCCAAATGTGTAAGAATTCATATTTGACATATTTTGGATCATTTGACATTGTCTAAGACTACATTATTTAATTGCTTGCCTGAAGCTAAAAGGACTTTTGATTGATGGCTGATCACTGGCGCACTTCTTAATGAGGTACAAAAAGAACACATTCACCTTGAGCGGTGCCTCTAAAATCTTATGACGGTCTTCACTTATTAGAATTCAAGCTACGGTCGCTGCAGTAGATGGTTTTCCTTTTCCTTTTTTCACCCAGAACACAAAGAAATGCACACACAGGTCCAGGAAAACAACAAAGAAACAACATCACGCTGTGTTTATGAGAATAAGAAAGTGTATATGGCACTGCTATTTGAGTAAATGTTAAGAATTCACATTTCGTTGGTTCTATTTTCTGCTACTGCCACTTTTTTTTCACAAACTGTTTATCATTGGAAATCTTTCATTTCTATTTCATTTAATTTCTTTCATTCAAATAAATTCATACACCCCTAAACCTAATGAACAAATCCATTTAGACAACAAGTGACAAAAATGCAACCTTAATCCTATAAATTCTTATACAGTGACCTGGCTTCCCAACATATTATTATTATATGCCTAATAATGATTTTAGTAGTCTTCAGGGTTCCACCTTTTTTTGTGTATATTCATATCAACTTGATCATATATAAAATCGGGACGAAAGTGGAAGCAATACTCCTACTTCTGAATTAGTTTTAGATTAATAAGTCCTTAAGTGGTGTCTGTGTAAGATTGTTAAGGTTAGGGTTAAGGGCGGGTTCGGGATATTTTATGGGAATGACTGGTTAAGTTTAGATAGTAAGTATTTACCGCTTCCGTCCCGATTCCGTATATATTCTAGTGCTGACCGTGCCTAAAGAGTTAACTCAGCACACTTCCGACTTTGGGATCTTACCATTGTCTTTAAACGGCATGAGATCGGCACAGACCACCAACAGTGACACCTGCAGGGCCTCACACTCCAATAGAACGTTGACTTTGACCCTCAGCCTCTCTGCACCACTGTAAATACTTGCACCTTGCAGCAGCGACCGTCTTTCGCAGCAACTTTTCCTTCCTTTTTCTCCAACTCAGCTGTTCTATTTTGCCACTGTATAGTTTCCACCACGGGCTTTGATGTGGGGAGGTGACATGCCGCTCGCTGTTTAAAGCCTTTTTAAATATTTTCTTTGGCTGGTACCACAAAATAAAATCACACCCACGCAACACCAACCCCCACTGCCCCCATTCTCCCGTCTTTATGTGAACAGCTGGGCGTCCATCAAGACAGCCAAGCCTCAATTTGGTTAATAGACCCTTGCTAATGTGTTGCGTTTAGGGTGTGGCTAGCTAAATCCATTAAAAAACACTTGTATTTTATCTTATGAAAGGGTTAATATTTTTCTCTTCTTTTCTATAGTCTTTTCAGAAGGCAGTTGCAAATGACGAGACCTTTTCAAACTCGGTCAAGAACATAATTTTGGCCAACTACGAACCAGTCTACAATTTCCACGCAGGCTTTTTGAAGGAAGTGGAACAAAGGCTGGCACAATGGTTGGTGAAATTTGATGCGTTTGCAGTATTTGGTGCCACAAGTGTGTAATGATTTGTTTCAGCGGGACATCTTGTTGCCATGCCTTGTTGTACCAGCTGTATTATTCCACCAGCTGTGTAAATGTGCCGAGGTGGCGGTTTTGACAGTAACACAAAACAATGGCTGAACTGAAAATGCAAACAGCAAGATGGAATCAGATGTTGAGTGACACTGGTTTTCGCAGTACTTTAACACATCTCAAATTGAAAAGTTGGAATTTAAGCCCTTAAAGTTGGAGTACCTAACTTTCAAAATACAATGTAACTAGTTCTCTCAAAACAGTTTGGTTCTGTCTCTATTTTTCACATGTATGTTTTGGTCTCCATCAACTTTTTCAGTCAGAATAGTGAAAAAAGAGAACCAGCCTCACTCGGCCAATCAGCTCAAAGCATCAGACTCCAAGGACTGTATGCAAAATATACATGCATAATGTATTGTAATAAGGCGGCATATTCTGGTCTGATTTATTCACAACATTTTACTTTTACAAGACATGTTTTTGTTGGGATGAACAGAATGTATTATTTATAGAAAAAAATAAAACGTTGGATGACCAAGCTATAAATCTGACATTATTATGCTCGGACGGTAATTATTGCCCAGCTCTTGCAGAGGGGGGAGAGCATGTGTCTGTTAATACTGTTTATTTGTCAATGTAGGCATTTTTTATTTTTGGGGGTTTCAAGGTTCTTTTTGGCTATGTAGATTTTATTAACAAAATCAACAAAGGTCTTTATGTGTGGCTGGAAATCATGTTTATCAGTTTAAAATGTGCGATTAGAAAAGTAGATTTTGGATATAAGAATTATTATCCATTAAATCAAATGCATTTCTGGTAAAAGGAATGGTTTGTTGTGGGAATAGAGTCGAAGTCTGTGTAATAACTTAAGCTCTGTACTGACCTCTACTGGCAGCCAAACACAACTGCAACACACAATGTAATTTTCTGTATTTTTTTTTTCTCCAGGGAGGGTCGATCTAATGCCCATATTAAAGGAGATTACCAGCGGATAGGAGACATTCTTTTGAAAAATATCCAGGGCCTACGGGTGAGTGCTTTAGTCATTTACCAATGTTACAAATGTGAGTCACAATTTAAAAATGCATGATGTGTCCATGTACAGCAACTCACCGTCCATCTTCAAAAACATTCTGAATGCCTGGTTGAACTGGAGAAGCTGTCCAGGTATAAGCCTCAAACACAGCGTTTGAGCTAAATTGGAAAAATACTTTTAACTTTTGTGCAACTTCAGGACTGTGCGTAAAGTGGAGGCGTTGTGTCGAGAGTTCGAGCAGCAGAGAGTGTGCTACCTTCCTTTCAACGTGTTCCTCCTGAGGCCCCTCCACCGCCTGCTTCACTACAAACTCATCCTGGAAAGACTTTGCAAACACTATCCACCCACGCATGAGGACTTCAGGGACAGCAGAGGTGACAAGTTCACTTTATTTTAGTTATCCAGTCAAATAAGGAGAATATATGTACTAAAATAGATACAGGCAGAAGGGAACATGCAGAAGAGAGAATTCATATCTTAGCTGGTGTGAGAAGTTTGACAATCTCTGCTTAAACATACTGTAGAAACATAAACTTTAACATACTGTAATAGACATGATCATCATTTATGGTTTTTGTCCCTGTGCAGCGGCCCTGGCTGAAATCTCAGAAATGGCGTTGCAGCTTCAAGGCACCATGATGAAGATGGAGAACTTCCAGAAGCTTCTGGAGCTGAGGAAAGACCTGACGGGCATCAACGACGTGGCCATCCCTGGAAGAGTAAGAGAGTCTGTGTTTGTGTCTCTATTGTTCAATCTTAAAACGCCTTTTAAGATGAGATAAAATAAGATAGACTTCATGGATCTCTATGGTCACATTTGGCACAAGATAGAATCACTCTTTTGGGTAAAGAAAACAGTAATTTTAGTGGTTAACCAAGAAAGAATCATATTGCTATATATTTTGAAATCCAACTGTTTTCTAAATTAATAACATAAAATAAAATTCCATTGTTACAGCCGCTATCTGGTATTTTCACATTGCCCATAATGCTTTGTGTAATGGGTGGGTAGCGAGCTGTACACAACTGCATATGACGAAGACTTATAGAGCAAAGCAAAGTGGTTTTTGCTCTTTGGCACTAGCTTTAATCAAAATAAAAATGGCTGCGGTGATGAATCCTTGATCTACAGCTCTCTACCTGCAGCTGTCTCAAAGGCGCAAAGCATTATGGTATCATGCAAGTGGCAAATATTAGTTTTTCCACTTAGAAGGGCAAACATTTCTACTTTGGTGATGGATAATTTTGCACTTTACGTCACCTTTAAATCAATATCTGACAGGTTGTGTACTGAATGACTGGCCTGTAATCCTTGCGTCCTTTCTAACCTTGTGAATTTTATTGCTTGATTTGCAGGAGTTCATCCGGCTCGGCTGCCTCAGCAAACTATCGGGGAAAGGTCTTCAACAGCGCATGTTCTTCCTGGTACAGACCCTTTCTCTGCCTTGTTTTCTCCTAATCTGCAAAAAACGTATGAAATATCGGTTGTGACAAGTTCCCAACCTTTTCCTTTTGTCTTTCGTCCAGTTCAGTGACTGCTTAGTGTACACCAGCCGAGGGATGACCGCAGCCAATCAGTTCAAAGTCCACGGACAGTTGCCTCTTTATGGGATGACGGTAACCCCATTCTGGACCCAAATAACTTCTCCACTTTAGGCTTTTTGTTGCTAATAATGCGTGTTTTTTATCCTGCAGATACGTGAGAGTGAAGAAGAATGGGGAGTCCCTCATTCATTCACTTTATTCGGGCAAAGGCAGTCAGTCGTTGTCGCAGCAAGGTAGAGTTTAAAACAAAATGTGCCTGGATTTGATGTCACTATGAATGAATAAAGTACTATAGTAAGTGAAGTTATGAATTATGCATGCGAGCCGTGAGTGTCTTGGCATAACACCTTAAAATATTCATAACTAGGTCATCGTCATTAAAATTTTAGTTAATCTCTGCTTGGTCTTTGGTTTGAAGATGTTTTTTCTACTTTAATCTTTTTGTTTTGTCTCACAGGCAAATATTTACATTAAATTTGACATGCACAGACATTTAATTCAAACTATTCACCATAGATTTGATAACATTTCTATTATAAACACAATTGCATCAATCAAACAGTCGCTGTATATATATCTATGCGCTATTGTCATTATATTATTTGTATAACATTTAAAGCTGGAGAACCTAACTTACCTAAACTAATAGAAATGTATCTATGTAAAAATCCTCGATTGCTTGAAAGACATGTTTCATAACAAGATAAAAATGGCATTTGGATTTGGAAATCATGAAAAATAAGGTTTTTTGTCCCAGCTTTAACCTATACTTTCTATTACTATTACTATTACTACTGTTCTATTTGCTATGGGGGCACAACTTTAGACCAAATCCCTGTATAAAATTGCAGTTCTAAATGGGTCTCAAACCACTGTCCATCTGCATTTGACGTACTGCGTTTTTGCACACTGAATATTCAATACTAATAAAATATAACATTTCAAATATTTCGCAGTTTTCTTTGTTATTCACATGGTAATTGTTTTTTAAATCCTTTCTGTATCTATAATCTAATAATAACCGCACAGACTTGTAGAATGCTAAGGATCATGCTTTCTCATTGGCCTTTATGACATGTTTTTGGTGTTTCTGTCCGTCTTGATGCAGTTGTGGGTCGGAGATGGAGCGGTGGGTGGAGGACATCCGCATGGCCATAGACTTGTCGGAGCAGAGCAGCGAAACCCTCTCGGACCTGCTCCCCGCCAGCCCCACGGACGGCAGTGAGTCTCCCGTCTCCCATCCAATCACGATCTCACTATCACCCGCTGTACATAAAGCTCCAGATCACATCTACCTGCTGCTCATTGCACCCAAGAAAAGTGCTGTCCATTTGGGGAACGGATCACAACAACGTCCTCTTGAAATCCATGCATATGAAACATAAAAAATCTGGCCAAAAGTGGTACTGCACTCTCTCCCACTCTCCCTGACTCAGGTTGCCAGATATGCAGACAATTCCAGCTGGGACCATAACAGCTGAATAGACAAGAGTTTAGTCAACAACAAATCTATAACCGACACCTTTTTCACAAAAATAGAAATCCTGGTTTTATTCTTTGTTTTGACATAAATGATTTCAGAATAATAACGAGCTTACAGTAGAGTAGGAAGTAGATTTTGTTACATTTGACAACGTTTGAGGATGGGATAGATACAGACGGACTTTTTCACATTACTAATCCAAAGAATATAATGATTTCTACATTTGTATCTATTTTACAACATAACTAATTATACATATATACGACAAAGTGCCCTGTATTATGTTTTTTACTATAACCATGCCTAAAATGACCAGCTAATGATATAGAGAATTGATTGTTTAACAGAGCTTCATTCTCTTCCTTATCCACGGCGACAGCTCTCGTCCACACCCATTACCTCGTCTTTTATCAAATGCACAAGTTACCCAATCTCTTCCCGTTTCTTTCTCTAAACTCAATACAAAAGGAGCCTCCGAGCTGGTCATCTTTCGAGCTGACACGTTTATTGTGGACCGTGTCACAGATTTCAACAAACGCTTCATACCTTCTCAGTGAAAGAGGGTTGCCTTACACCGCAATAATAGACTCTTTTACCTGCTTTTCAGGTAAAAGTCAGAGTAACTGACTTTGATGTTTGTATCGAGACTGGCCGGCAGCTTCTAACTTTATTCATTTGAACTGGCTGCTAGATTTTGGAATATTATTGGAATTGGGGCTTGATGATTTGCATGATCAATATATTTTAATGGGGGTGCAGCTCTGACTGCCACCCCCCCGACCCAGAAATGGATTAAGGGGAAGAAAATGGATGGATAGATGGATATATTTTAATGAGAGATTAATGTAACACCGCCATTTCAAGTCAATATCAATCATTGGAGGCTTTTGATCCAATTTAAGTTTTGATCAGGGGTGAATTTGTTAAGTAAAAGTATAAAAACAATATACATTTTTCATTTTAGTGCGACTTTGTGCATTGTTAAAGTAAAAAAAAAAACTGGATTGTACTTGTACAGGTGAAAGAAGAGCTTGTTACACAATGTAAACTGGAAATATTAGGGAGAAATTTTTTTTTAGTTTTTTAAAGATCCGATGTGATAATGTGCTTAGCCGTCATGCTTTCTGTAACCCTGAGCAATGACCGCTAAATCTAAATTGAGACTACAGGGTCATTGCGCAAGTCTTGAAAGTCTCAATAAGTATGGAATTTTGAAACACGGTTTTCTAGACCTTGAAAAGTCTTGAATTTTGTGTGAAAGTCTTAATAAAGTATAGAAAAAAAGTATGGTAGAATTGTACAGTATGCTCCAGGGCATTGTGAAATGCAAAATAGGAAAGTAGGCAATAAAACTATAATTTTACTAACTGGTCGCGTACTCTATTAGCCTAATGGAATATCCAATCAACGCTTGCTTAGCCTAGTCTGGCACATTTTCATGCACAATTATGGTATACAAGTACATAAAGTTAAGGTTTTGGGAAAAAAATATCAGTTTTTAAAAAGTCTGGAATTTTAATTTGGAAAAAGAGCAAGCTCCCTGGACTAAAACTAAGATGTAATTTCTATCTTCTCCCCATGCGATTGTTTATGCAGAGCTGAGTGGAGACGCGGGTCCGGAGCACGAGTCTGAGGAGGAGCTGAGCGGATCGCGCACGTCTCTGGAGCGCCAGGGTCACCGCGGCAACACCACCGTGCATGTGTGCTGGCACCGCAACACCAGTGTCTCCATGGTGGACTTCAGCGTGGCCGTAGAGGTACTGACCCATACGCCTCAGGGGCTGCTCAGGCCGCTGTGTGAGAATGTGCATGCAGATACCGCGGTCTGGGAATCTTATTAAGATGTTATGATCCAGAAATCTGCAAATGTTTGTCTTTTTCTGTGTCTGATGAGGACATTATCACTAGGAGAACTCCCAGAGCAAGTCATTAGGTCAGCTCTAATTCAGATGAATGGAAAAAAAAAATCCCCCAATAAGTATTAGATTTTACTATATTGGCAAACCAAGGCAAGGTTATTTGTAAAGCACAATTCATACCCAAGGCAAATCAAAGTGCTGAACAAATCATAAATAATCACAGTACACTAAAAAAAGAAGATAAGAATAGAAGAATATAAGAAGAAGATAAAAATATAAAATCCCTCAGTTGTATGCACAGCTAAACAGAACAGTTTAGCCTGGATTTAAACATTGTCAGAGAAGAGGCCTGTCTCAAATTTTCATGAGGATGGTTCCAGATTTTAGCAGCATGAATCTGAAATGCTGCCTCCCCATGTTTAGTTCTGACTTTAGGACCAGCAAGAGTCCAGTCCCTGTAGAAAAGGATTTTCCCGAAATATTAGGAAAGAAGTTCCCAATCTCCACTTTTTGAACAAAACTCTCTGGTCTTATTTGACGAGCACGTGTCACCAGAATGATTAACAATTAGGAGGACCAATAGTCTTGATGATCCACCAGGAAGTAGAAAATCCTCCTAAAAACCTTTAAGTAAAGATTAGATTTTTCACTGATTTCGTTAAATTTAAGTAATTCATATGGGATTTTATCTTCAAACCATGCTAAAACTGGTTAGTATAAATGAAATAAAGCTAAACTAAATGCTATCTTCTGCAAATAAATATTGTGTTGCTATGGTAACTAGCAGTGGCTCCAGTCTAGGATCATAAACACAACAACATAGGAATAATCTAAAAATAGAAAGATAAATAAGTCACAACGTTTTGAAGGCCAAATAGACAGTTCTAACATAAGTATTGTCCATAATAGAACTTTCAAACTAACTGCTAACTCACTCTTGATTACCTTTGCCTTCAAACCATGACTCATTAATCAATCACCAATAACAACAACAACCACCTTTGTTCATGTTTTTGGCAGCGGAAGATTGAATTAATATTTAATCCAGAGACTCATTGTCCAGCTGTCTCTTCCCCCTCTGCGCTCTCCAGTCTTTCTTTTGTGTCTGCCGTTCTAACCCCGTCTGACCACAGTGACTTTGCCAGAGGCTGCACATGTTTAGTCAATGGAAGAACGCCCAAGAGACTAGAGTTAATTTGAGGAAGGAAGGTTAATTCTGCTGAAGGTTTAGGGCCCTCTGCTGGAGCTGAAAAGAACTGCACTAACCAATCTGGACTCAACCTACTGTGTTTGTGCGAATGAGAGCAAGGGACAAAATATTTATCTATCCATCTATCTATCTACTGGCAAAGTGAATAGAGATTGAGATTAGACTTCTGGACTTGGAGGTACTAGGTTTTTCTCTGTGGTGTGGACAAAGAAGGGGCTTGTCCTGCATCTTAAAAATTTGTAGCTTAATGGTTTATATTAGCTTGGTCTTAAAAATGAACCAGAGTTCACAGATGGCTAAGGCCAGGCTAGGTCTATGTAATATTCCTCTGAAGGGTAAAATTAAACAGAAAAAGGGATTGTGTGTGTGATGGTGTCAAAATCTGTCAAAATATAAAATTTCTATTGATACATTTGTTTTGTCTTAATGAATGGGTGAATTGATTAGAAAAAAACATACCCATTTCGTTTATAATAGATATTCAGTGTAATGTTTTTATGTATGTATGTGTCCTTTTACTTTGTGTTTTTTGTTTGCTTTCAAGCATCAAAGTACATGTGTTTTTTATTGTTTCAGAACCAGCTCTCAGGAAACTTGCTGCGGAAGTTTAAGAACAGCAATGGTTGGCAAAAACTGTGGGTCGTCTTCACCAACTTCAGCCTTTTCTTCTATAAATCACACCAGGTCACTGTAATACTTATTCTCCCCTTTAATGACTGGACAATGGGTCTGATAATAACAATACATTTTTTTGTTTTTACAGGATGACTACCCTCTGGCCTCACTCCCGCTGCTGGGCTACTCTGTGACGGTTCCGGCTGAATCTGAAAATATTCACAAAGATTATGTTTTCAAACTGCATTTCAAATCCCACGTGTACTACTTCAGATCCGAGAGCGAGTACACTTTTGAAAGGTACGACAAAATTGGGAAATCATAAATGCTAGTTGGCCAAATTCTTTAGTATTGGATCAACATCATAATTTAATTTGATGGGTTAAAGTAAACTAACTTTAAAAAACAGAAACAAAATATTGGCTTAAAATCCATGTGAGTAGTTCCTCCCACTCAAAGACAGCTCTAAATCCAGTTTGCACATCTTTAGATTTAGATTTATTCATAAAGGAAAGAAAAAAAGGGATCGCCACTCTTACAGCCTGAAGCATCAGATGTTGGAATTCACTTGTTCATTATCTTTTACTTGACTCTTTCTGATGGAACAAACAAAATGTATGATTATTAATGGGGGTAAAGTTTGTAAGTTAGTTAAGCGTATGGCCAGTCAACATGCTTTTGATTCACTTTAAACAGTATGGTAATAAAGTTAGACCAATGGAAGCCTATCTCTGTTGTTATTAACCACGTCTGCATAATCTGTAATCGTTTTGACATTTGTGCTAAGTGGGCAGTGCTGGTGTCTGTTGTAATGTAATGTGATTTTTCTTTCTTTCTTTTGGGTTAGGTGGATGGAAGTGATCCGCAGTGCCACCAGTTCTTCCAACCGCTCACTGCCCACCTCCAGAAAAGAGCTTTACTGATTCTACTTTGCACACGTCGCTCCAAACTGTGATCCCGAGTGGATTCATGGACAACACAAAAACTATTCAACGGCTTAGACACTATTCCAACTTTCAATTTTTCACCTGTTTAGTCATGTTAGTATTATGCCCTCTTATGCCAACACATTTGCCTCATAGGCACTGCCAAAAATGAATTAACTTTACTGCTTAATATTTGTACAGAATTCATGAACACCAAGTAACTTTTCTATGGCAATCTGCGAAATGTAATGATTGAAAACTGCCATTGTGTTTAACCACCTTTTTGTACAGTTCTTGATACACTGTGAAATGTCAAATGTAACTCATTTCAACGTCGCCAACTGCCAAAAACATTCACTCCTGTCTGTATTTTATAATGTCAAATAAAAGAATGATTGTTTGGATCATATTTTTATTGTGCTTTGGATGGCAATTGTTAGACAGTGATTTTGCATAATTGAAATTACAGGCAATGACAGGAAGTTCGAATCACCGGATTTTAATCACTTTGAAGCTATATTAGGAAGTGGAATTTTGCACATCAATTGCTGGAGCAGGTGCGTAGGAGAGGGGGAAAGTCCTGGTGCGCTTGAAAGAAAAAATAAAGGTTCCCGCACACTGCTGTCCTTGCAAAAAATATTTGTATTGGAAAATGCTACGTTTCGGTCCTGAGACCTTGATCTGGCAATTTACTCACTTTAACCACCACTTTAAAGCCAAAATGGAGTGCTGAGACGAGACCAGAGGACATGAGGAAAAACCTATTCTTTTTTCAGTCCACATAAGCAGGGATACTATTTGCTGGGATAGCCCTGGAAAGAAGAAGCCATCATTAAATTCTGCCAAGTGCTTGAAGAATCTGAGAATAGTTTTGTAGCTGCTCTAAATATATAAACGACCCATTCAAACAAATCATGAGAACTATTGGAGAATTGATTTGTTATTTCATTAATTTCGTGACTCTCTCTCTGCATACGTCAGCCCGTGGCTGCCGTAGGAGTCATAGTTGTCGTAGGCAGGGAGGTTGATCCATTCCGGGTCGTACGTCATGGTGCTGTAGAGATGGGCTTCGGTTATGCTCCCAGGGGCCAGTGTCTCTTCGCCGGCTTGTGCGACCCACTCCTTCACCTCCAGCTTTTTCAAAGTCCTCTGATAGTGAGTGGGAACGCCTTCAAAGTCATCCAAGAACTTCAGCATCTGCTCGTCCACCTTGTAGATCTCCCCGTGGATTTGATTGCCCTGGCCGGGAAGGTTGAGGAGATATGGGATGTTGTAGACCCCGGCGATCACCAAGGAGAATTTTTCCACCGTCTTTGCTGTGCCCAGGAATTCAGTTTTGCCATTGGAGCTGAGAAACATGCGGTGGTAGTTGGGCTGGCCCTTCTTCAAAGTGCCATAGACAAAAACTCGGGCCATGCTGGATACACTAAAGATGTGAGTCTAAAGACAAGAAAAATAAATACAAAATCACATTTAGAATATCTTGTTTTTGATTTGTTATGGATTGTGTAGGCTACAGGAAAAAGTATTTGGACATAGAACTTGAAACTTGTTAAGCATCATCCCAAAGGAAGTAGAAATTGACAGAAGGCCATTTTGATTGATCAGAACTACTGCTAGTTTATAATAAATCACTCTTTGAAATTAACAGGCATGAAAAGGAATCAGACAGATCCATTGCCTACACCATATCAGAATCACAACGATAGTTAATGCCATTGTAAGCAAAGGCAACAGTCACAAGCTTTGGCATGTACTGTAGACAAGTAATAACGTTTATGTTTATTTGTATTTTTATAATAAATAAATAAAGAAAAAAGTGTAATTAAAATTCTCAACGCAATATATATCTAACATAACATATTATCAATTAGTGTCTAGAGGTATGGCAGAAATGTAAAGTGGCGATCAAAACCACTCATGAGATTTATCAAAAGTATAACACAAAAACATTGGACTTAAATGATCTTGGAATTATGACAACCATTCAATTACCAATGTGTGTCTCAGTTCGTGTACAAAGTATAAATCATTTTCGTTTTCACAATACTCCAAGATGGGGATGAACAAACAAGAGCACTTTTAGTAGTCGACTTGAATGCCACAAAACACGAACATGTATGCAGCAGTTACTTTGCATGGTATACTTACGTGGAACAAGAACAAAGTTACAAAGTTATCAGACAGACAGGAGGAACGGACTTTTCCACAAGAATCCCAGATCCGTGAATGTGACACTGTCTTTAGCTAAAAGACTGATAAGTGCAACAACAGCGTAATACATCCAACAGCATGAGGCAGGAAGAGATGTCTGAGCTCTTTGGTAGAACCATAGACTGTATATTGGTAGAACATATGGATAGAACATGGGAAGGTGCATGCGCATTGAGGTTTGCGCATGTTTACTATGGGCTGTATGTGTACCTGACATCCGTGAAGTTGGCACCTCGTTGATCGGTAGAAGTTTGCACTCGGATTGTGTTGCTTGTAGTTTTTGTTCTACTAACTAATGTTTTATCGGTCAAATTGGGGTCACCCGGCCCCATCATTAAGCTCCAATATGGTGTCAATCAATAGTGCTGATGCGTGCTGTTCAAAGTTCTGTTTGTGCTATTATCGTTATTATGAAATTATTAACAATTTACTGTTTGACCGATGACGTCATCATCCCTAAACGAGCTCCAAAATGAGCCAAACTGGTGTCACTCTGTCTCTGGTGTCACTCGACAGTTCTCTATTAGTGCTGCTCTGTGCTATCAAAGCTATTATTTGTACTATATTGACCATATGATCGATTACGTCATCGAGCAGTCTGAAATATGGTTATGAACTTTGCATTATAAATGAGCTCTTAAACAATGATAATAGTAATAATACAACCGTTATATTAAACGAAAACTTAATTTGCAGTTCGCGTTCCTGCTGTATTTATTTTGTAGTCCACATTAAAAAAAAAGATTTAAAAAAATCCATGTAAGACTACGTCCGAATTGAGCAAACAGAATAAACCTCCTTCCTTTGTGCTGTTTGAGTCAGAAGGACACATCAGGAAGGAGGTAATATATATTAAATTCAGACGCAGCCAAACACTCCAGTCCAGGCGGCGTCGCAGAAACTTCCACATCCACAAACGAAGAAGCGCCGCCCATGACGTCATCACGCTGGCAACCTAGCAGCTTGGCGTAAACAAAGCAGCCCGTTACCTTAGAGCTAATTAGGTCACGAATCACATATTCTCCCTATTTCAACATTTGTTTCATGGTTATTTTTTTACTAAAGTGTCTCAATAGATCGGAATATGCAGCTTTTTTGACTCCAGTTTAAACGAAGCAAACCGATCGTATTCGCGTGTTATTATGACCAGTCCGAGATTGCTTGCTAGCTAGCTTTATCTCGCTAGCCAGATTTACGAGTAACCTCTATTTTTACGCGTGTGTCATTGCGAAAAACTTACTAATTTCCCAACGCTGCACACGAAGCGTCCCCTGGTGTGATCGGGGTGAGGATCTCGAGGTTAAGCCCCGTGATGGCTGCAGGAATCCGGGTGCTATGTAGCTAGGAACCGAGGCTTGTTTGGACGCCGTGTTGCTGCGGCTGGAGGCGGAGAGGGGAGCGCTCCTGTCTGCATGACTGCTGATCACGGAGGTCTCGGACTGCAATGTTTAGCCTGATGGCGAACTGCTGCAACTGGCTGAAACGGTGGAAAGAACCAGCAAGGTGAGATGGATGAAGCTTGATATTGTGGAGTTTACTAGTAGTAGCTATATGTCATTCATTATCGCTTCCATCATAGATTTATCATAGAGCTAAGCTGAAAACTGTTCTTTTTAGCTGTGCAATAGACTAGACAAGACTTGTATATACTGAGGTTTTGTACAACTTTATTTCTGACATTCGGTCTAAAATGTTTCTTTCCTTTCATTTTTTTTATCCATATAATTTAAAATGTTTGTATATGTGTATGATTTCAGTCTGTGTAAAACACTTTGGGTTGCACTGCATGAACTGTGCTTTATAAATAAACTTGATTGATTGCTAGATTTCCTTTAGAATATATACAAATACTTTTAAAATATTTAGCATTAAAACATTTATTTTTACATATTGTGAGGTTCAACAAATAATAACAAATTTATATAATTTATATTTATAACCAAGTGCAATTATAGCTCCACACACAGTTTTATCTTATTTTATTCTATTCAATCATGTTATGACTTATTATTTTTATGTTTAATCTCTATTATCTTGAATATTAGAATCTGTTTGGTGTGTGCACTGTTTTGCTGTTATGTGCGCTAACAATGACATTGACATTTCTTCATCTTATCTTGTATTTTTTGTTAGGTATAGTCTTTTTTTATCGTTTCTATCAAATTGTATATTCCACTGTATCGTATGTCATAGTTAACCTTGTGGCATGTTATGATTCTTTTCACCATGATGATTGATTTATCATTTGACATGCACAGTACAGTACATGTCACTGAAACAATTGAACATTTATGAAAGATTCAGATTCCAATAATAAAAACGATGGAATCACATATAATCACATATTTCCTCACATTTCACTGTGAAGAAACGGACACTTGGGGAATACAAAAGCTCTGACTATAACGCGGTACTGACGAGACAGTTGGACTTGACAGGCTCGGGAGCGCAGATCATTTGAAGGGAGTGACAAGACGATAACAATGGTTACTTTTATGGTACGTGTGTGTGGGTGACTGTCTGCATGAATGAGTGTTGAAGGACCGAAGCAGAGATTTACAGACTTTTAAATGATATATTCTGAATGGTCCTCAAGGTGGAACAAAATAAGAAACTGAAGAGACAATGCCTTTCTTTTCTTATGGCAATGTTGCTCTATAGTAGCACCATAGTCTCCTTTCATTAATGTTTACTAATGTGTATGTCTTTATTTTCCTCCATTTAGTTATTTTTCATTTATTTACATTATACTCAAACCAGTGCCTTTTGCAGATTGCGTTTAAGAAGTACATCTTAACAGCAAAGGGCTAATTTGAAACGAAAAGCATCTCGATTAGGTCAAAGAGAATTGTCGAACCGTCGCGTCTGCTGAGGCAATATTGTGAAATTATTTAAAAGTCATGGCTTACTATTTTGTATATTTTGTGTGCTTTTTGTGTGCTCTTAATACTGTCCTGTATGTGCACTGCAACATTGAAATTTCCCCACTGTGGGACGCATAAATCTCTTATCTTGAGTCCCTCACTGCCTACACACTTGATGGTTTGGCTAAAAGGCATGGATAAAATAAATCAGTGGACACAGCAAAATGTATTTGAAAGAGCTTAAGCCACGTGGCACCTGTGAGGCATTTGATCCTGTGGAATTACTCAGAAATCCTCGCCTAATCCGTGTAGCAGCTCTGGCCTGCGCATGTCTCGCTGCCGGTGCGTTCATAAAGTGCTGCGAGGTGTAATGGAGCATCATTCATGGGTTAGCTGCAGTCCACTTTCCTGTCTCAAATGGAGATTCACATAAATACTCCACTTTGATGAAGTCTTCTTGGCTTCAGAGGACGGTCAGATGGATGGTTCGTTTCATGTCTTTTCGGAGGAAGTTTAAAAGTTAAGTACCACGTGTAACTGTTTATAATGTTGGCTGTGATTAATGATTAGATGGCCGATTATTCTTTTGATTCATGGTTTAGTAGTTTAGATCCTGAAAAGTCAATGAATAATGGGATTTGTAAAACATGTTTGACCAAAACAAAGCTCAAGTGATACTGGAAAACGTCACAGAGATAACTTGTTTCACTTCAGGTAGTTTGATATATTTTTTTTATTTTTTACATATTATAAACACATTTTCCTCAATTCTGTTGTCATATAGAATTATCAGAGTCATAAAACCTCTTCACAGCATGTTTTAATCTGTGTAGGGTTAAAAAACATCAGAATAAGAATCATTTTTATTGTCATGTAAGTAACAGGAAGTCACAGAGTAGGAAATTGCTTAGGCTCTCGGTGAAAACAAGTCACTGGAAACTAAATTCGTTCTCAAAAATCTGTCAGTTGTGATGAATCGAATGAAGTTGTTGCAGCCCTAGTTTATAGCATTTTGTTGTACTTTATTGAGCCGTGGTCTGTCAAATGTCAGTATTACTATTATTAGCAGTGTATCTGTATAACCGTTTTAGATTTCCCCAATTATTCTTCAATTGGGCTGTTTTCTGTCATTCCTCAAAGAGTTTAGGAATCATGTGTTTTGACTATATTTCATGCATCCTTCGAGGACCCGTTATAGAAATCGGACTTATTAACTTATTTGTTAACTAATTATTTGTTCTCTGTGAAGGCAGCCAAAACAACAGATAGATGAGCAACATTGTATTTATTTATTTCATAAAAAAAAAAACCCGAAAAAACAGCAACACCATACAGTCTGAATGAAACGAAGCAGAGAAGAAGAAGAGGTTTTACATAATGCATTCCTTCCTTTGGCTCAGCTTTTAACAAAACATTTCTTTTTGATATTCTATGTACTTCTAATGTTTTGGTTTGTTTGTTGTACTGTATGTTGAGCTTTAGCACTTTTAGGCCTTCTGGAATTGTGAGGTGAAATATATTTATTTTTTTATCGTTATGATGATGGCTTTCCAATTCAAAAGAAATATTGTGTTTTTTGATGAGTAATACTTCACATGTCTGATCTCATGGAATTAGAGTGATTATCAGACCTGACTCAGAGAGGATCATTGATTACACAAGGCTTTTTATTACCAGTTACTTATTCCTCTGCATCATCTGCGTCATAACATATAATCCCCATCGACTTATACTGTTAATATTGTGTAAGGGCACCTACCTTTTAATGCTAGTTGCCTTCTTCAATCGCTTGGATTATTGCTGGTCTTAATGAACTAATTTTTGCTCTTCTTGTCCCCACAGGAAAGTGACTTTGGTCATGGTGGGCCTGGACAATGCAGGAAAGACGGCCACAGTCCGAGGGATTCAAGGAGGTTAGATTCTTTTTAGCTATTTTCACTTTTTACGAGCCTGACAAAACCACGTTCTCAACCTCTGTGTGACTCTTTCAGAAAACCCACAAGACGTAGCTCCCACTGTCGGATTCTCCAAAATAGATTTGAAGCAGGGCAAATTTGAGGTCACCATTTTCGACCTGGGCGGCGGGAAGAGGATCAGAGGAATTTGGAAGAACTATTACTCAGAATCGCACGGAGTGGTGTTTGTGGTGGACTCTACAGACGTGCAGAGGATCCAGGAAACTCGAGACACCATGACAGAGGTCCTGCAGCATCCACGGATCTCTGGGAAGCCTGTTTTAGTGTAAGAGCGGTACCTGCGTTTGACTCCACGCAATAAGATGTATAATAATGTAGTTTCATAGGCATCCAATCTTTTGTCACAGATGATGAATTCTCATTTCAAGCGGAATAAAAATCATTAAATCTATTTAGAATGAGAAAATAATTACTACTAGTATACAAATAATTAATGAATAAAAGCTATTGTAAAAACCTAACCTTTTTCTCTCAGTTGCACATGCAGTAACTGTTCAGGACGTGTGGGCGGCACGGTGGCTGAGGGGATAGCACTCTGGCTGCCTTCACAGAGGGGATAGCACTCAAATGATTTCACTGGCGAACATCTTTATAGAGATGACAAAAAAACCCATAATACTTTAAAAAAAACCTTTAAAGCATGAGTTTATCACGAAATTGGTTCACAACTATTTCATCAATTAGTTGCTATTGATATGAAAAATTCTGGGAACACAGGTTGGGAAGTACTTGCATAGACAAACCTTTTATTGGTATCTTATGAATCAATGTAATCAGAACTGAAACGTAACATTGATTTGCTGTGATACATTCATACTAAGACGAGCTGTTCTGAATGCGAGAGCTTAATCCAGTTTTTTTGAAAATATGTATAGCAGTATTCAGAACTGAAGGCCTTTATCTCTGAGCTGTATTTTTGGTGACTGTGGAATGAGATGTGAGATTATTTGTTCCTCTTTGCACCTGTAGCCTCGCAAACAAACAGGACAAAGAAGGGGCTCTGGCTGAAGCAGACATCATCGAAAACCTCTCACTAGAGAAGCTTGTCAACGAGAACAAGTGTCTCTGTCAGATCGTAAGTGTCCCCGCACCTGCTCTCTGCACTTAACGTCACAAAGGCCCACAGACGTATGAACGAAAACATAATCCTTTCACCACAGGAGCCATGCTCAGCTGTTTTGGGCTACGGCAAGAAGGTGGACAAGTCCATCAAGAAGGGCCTCAACTGGCTCCTCAACAACATCGCCAAAGACTACGAGGCCATCGGCGAGCGAGTGCAGCGGGACACGGCCGAGCAGCGCGCCCAGGAGGAGCAGGACCGGAAGGAGAGGGCCGAGAGGGTGCGGAGGATCAGAGAGGAGAGGTGAGGATTGAGATGGAGAGGTGAGGTGAGGGTTGGAGAGCAGAGGTGAGGATCGAGAGGAGAGGTGAGGGTCAGAGAGGAGAAGAGAGGAGAGGTGAGGTGAGGGTCAGAGAGGAGAGGAGAGTTTAGGGTCGGAGAGGAGAAGAGAGGAGAGGAGAGGTGAGGACTAGAGAGGACCAACACTCCCATCTAGTGATATACTTGCATGTGAAAGCTGAGCAAGGCAGGGTCTGGTTAGTACTGTGATGTGAGACCTCTGGGAATACCAGGTGCCACAGTGCAATATATGATGACAAATTACATGATCCATCTAATATCAATTAATTATACATCTAATTAAGGCACCTGTTATTATATCATTTATTTTTTACTGGAAAAAATATCTGGAAAACTATTGGTAGGTGACACAGGATCATAGTCTGAGGGTTTGTTATGACATCATTTTTAAAACGAAGCATCTAGATATTGAATAGTTATGATGTAGTTATGATAATCAGATGCAATTACAATTTTGTCTACTTTTATTTAGGTTAAACAATTTTTCTGGGTTTCTGGCTGTACAATTATTACTTTCCTTATAGTTCACTGCACAAACCGAGAAATAACCACATTTGTTGATTTGAATGCAGAGAGAGAGAAGAGCGAGAAGAGGCAGAACAAGAGGGGCAGCAGCTTCACGAGGACGATCTCGAGGAAGACAACATACCCAATCCATTCCAGCCAATCAGCAACTTCGTCACTGAGGTGAGGGCTGGAGGTTCAGAAGAAACATGAACAAACAAGTTTTGATTTTAAACACACACTGTGTTGGTTGCAGAACGATGACGTGGAAAAAGAGAAGAAAAGGCAAATAGAGCTACAAGAGAAGCTAAAAGATGGCAGTCAGGAGGAAGAGGAGGACAATGACGAAGAGCCAATAGACACAAGGCAAACCTCTGAAAATGGAAGCTCATGTGAGTATTTTTACAGACCTCGACAAACACTGGGGCATTAACCATGTCTATTTTACAATTCAATTAAATGTCTAGTTCATGATCTTCATTCAGTTCATTCGTGCTGTTTATTCATAAATCTTGGTTTAGTAAAGTGTGGGCACCCCTGTTCCAAGAGAAAATATGTATTTTAAATGCACCAAACAGAGTATAAGTATATGTTGTTACTGAAATCAGGTTGACATACTCATTAACTGGGCTCTTTCTTGTTTTTTAAATGTTGCTTGGGTTTATACCATAGACTGTATATAAACAGACGTAGTGACGCCTATAATTTCCTCCTCTGAAATGTGTGTGCAGATTCAAAATGGCCACGAAGGCATTCAAAAGTCCACAGCGGCTAAACTAGAGTGGTCCAAAAATTCTCCCCTCAGCATTGACAGCATCTGGTCCAAGAGCGACTTTTGGACCATCCTGTTAAGCCAATTAAAACAAACTCAATAGCCTTAGCATGAATGAAATAACCAGCTTTGAATTAATTCCGTTAACACAAGGCGAGCGTCATAAAATGTAATCTAAAATGACAAGGGACCAGCAAGCACACTGCACGCTCCACAACTCATATCCAAAGCCACAAACAGAATCTGTTTTGATTAGCCTTATGCCTGGAGACGAGCATCAACGATCGGTCTGCCATGAATCAAAACGTGGAAGGAGTTTGCTAGTCAAATTAAGCAAGTGTCTCCTGCCAAGTCTCTTTACTAAACTCTGCGTGCCGTCGAATAATTACTCACCGGGAAGACTCTTAATGAATCGAGCAATTAACCATAACAGGGGGTAGTAATTTTAATGTCTGGTGTTGAATGATGACGGCTTAAGAAGGAAGGAGGGAGGGGGATGGCTTTAGATTTTAATTCCCCGGATTTAAAAATGGATTTGTGCGTGTCACAGCGACGGTGGGCGAGCAGAAAACGAAGAAGACGAGGAAGCTGCACCTGAAGAGGAAGCACAGGGTGGACCCGCTAAAGACGGACGAGGGCCACAGGGAAAGCCCCACGCCGCCACCCCCTCCTGGTGGGTCCGCTCTCACAGTCGTCACTGTCTTTGTATTCTGTTTGTTGGTGGACTTTGCCCTTTTGAACGATAGAATGTTTGTCCAGTTTTCAGTAATGGCTTGTCTGAAATCTAAGTATAGCATTGGGTCTGTAAATGATAGTATTGGTATGCTCATTTTTATCTAGTTTATGTATGTGCAAATACTTTAAGTGTATTGATAGAGACAAACCAGTACAGTTTTCTCAGGCCCACTGATTTGTTTTCGTTAATCAAGTAGTTCATTTTTCAGACTTTTGGCCAGTTCAAAAAAACACAACATGAACAGAATCTTGATATAAACTAGTTAGTTGTAATTACCAATTCAAAACTATTTACTTTGGTATAGGCCAATGTTTGCCTTGTTAACTACCATCGGCAAATAATGTAAAAGGTGTCTGCGCACTTTACTCAGTAGAAGAAACAAAGAAGATGGCAGTGGTCGTGTGGAAATATTTTACAGTATCAGAAAAAGATCAGCGTTATGCAGTTAGCGATACATGTTCAGTCAGATTTCAAGAGAGATGATTGTTAGTCATTTCACACTCATCGAGTCTCATCTCTCAAGCTTACAAAAAAGGAAAACTGAAGCCGCCAAGAAATATATATATATATATATATATATATATATCTACACATATAGCTATAAATAACAACAAGAAAAAATATCAGTATAGTAGTTGGTATCGGCCCAAAATTTCACAATCAGTGCATCCCTAGTAATTACCAATTCAAAACTATTTATTCGTATATATTGTTTGAGCAATGGTGCTCCAAGCAATATCCAAAAACAGACTCAACAACCTTATCCAAAGTAGTTAAATTTCATAATGATAACTTTTCAAACTGTAACAGAGCCATGAACTAGATTCCAGCAGGATGGAGTCTGCCTGCACATAACAATATCTTTTGTTTTTCCGTTCTAATTAGTGAACATGACCTTGTCTTTTAGTGGGATGGGCCACACCCAAAGCTTCGAGACTGCCAAAACTAGAGCCGCTGGGGGACTCCAAACATTCTGGTAAAGCCTCCTGAGTTGCGGAGCTTTGTTCTTGCCATCGCGTTCACTTCCATACTAACATACATGCATTTATTAAGGTTCTTTTCCCCTTACATGCATGTTTGGAAAGCTTTTATTTTTGCTATAGTTGAGCTAACAGTTAACAAAGCACGTGTCATCTCTGCATTCTCTTTCTTTGATTCCAGCTGGTATGATTTAAATGCATGTGGAGATCTTTCGTGAAGATTTCTCAATGAGCTGAAAGGATCCCTGTGTCCACATCCGCGGCTTTCCCTCCCATTTCCATAACTGCCCCGTGTCATAGTGAGCGTCTTTGTCCCGTCACTGCTGCTGTGGACTGCATGGGTTTCCTGGGCTCGCTGTACTGACCCACTCCCATTTTGTCCGTTTTTCAGATTTCTTCAAGAAGCCACTGCCACCTGTCGCCAACCGGCCCGGCTCGCAGCCCAACGGCGATTCTCACGATGTTGTTTTTTAGTGTTTGCAGAAATACGCTTTACAAATCACAGTTCTCATTATTTTTGCTTTCTATTTTCAAGTGAGCGGGATGTGATCGCGGGACTTTACGGGAGAAAGAAGCCATTAGATGCGGAAGGACAACTTGACAAAGCCAGTCCCATTCAAAGACTCCATGAACTTGTGTCTATGCCTGACATGAAGAATCTCTTGACTGAAATTATATCTGCGTTTTTGATCAACGGAATTTAAACATATCTCAACTGCACCGTCTAGCAATTATTATTTGTTTACACACATTTAGAAATATCAAAAACTGTCATTCCTTTTTGCACAGAAACTATAATTTTGCAAAACCACATGTGGTAAAACTGTAGCCGTCGTATCAAGTGGATTTTCACAGTCGAGTGCTTCAAATGTACTAATTTCTGGCCCCTTTTCTATGTTAATTGAGCGAAATGAGGATGTGTCACAGTTGAGTCACTTACAAGCGGTTACAAAAATCGCTTTCAGAGGCGAAATTGGCATAAGATTGGTATCATTTGCTTCACTGTGCTTTACATAAAAGGGTACATTATGTAATCTTTGTTCAGCTTTTTATTTTTTGTATTATGCCTCCACTGAAAAACAGATTGTTTGAGGACTTTTGTATTCTTGCTACGCTACAAATACTGTACAGACACTACCAGCATCTTGTATGCATGAAAACAAACTTGTCCATAGGGCTATTTATTACATTGCTGTATACACAGTTGTGATCTTAAAGTGATTGTTCTCTTGAGGCTTGAATTCTACTGCAGACTCTCAGCCTCTTGTGGGAGTGTTCCTGTTTTTGGACTCGACAGCCGTGCACCGGGAGAGTATCAGAAAATAGCTCCAAAAAAAACATGAGATCTTGGAACAGTTCTTTGTCCCAGTTTCCCATTTCTCAACGTCAGAAACTTCCCAATTGGACCAAACTTTAGAAACTTGACTTAAATTGTTGCAAAGAGGATTGTAACAAGGCCTAATAAATCTATCCCTTTAACATGGGAGATGTCATCTTTGGAAACTAACCTTCATTGTTACAAATGTAGATGTTTAAACTATTTTTTATATGCTGCTTGACTTTTATAAAGGCACAATAAAAAAGAGCAGTCTTGTATTGTTGTTCTGTTTAATTTCATTCTGCTTCTTAATTTGTCTGGCACTATTCATGTACACATTTAGGCTGTTGTTGTTACTTTATTCTTAGAATTTGTTAAATTTGAAATTGATAAACGTTATAAAATAATATATTTAGTGTCTAATGTACAGCTGCTGTGACAGAACTGACTGAACACATTCATGTCGGGGTTACATGTAATATTTACAGTCTATGGGGTTACACCATGGATCTATAATAACGGTTGCAGTAATTTTTGCTAACAATGTGAGTAAAAACTTTAGCTAATTACCAAATACATAACTAATTACTCCTTTTTTCTAATAGAAAACCGAATAATTATGCATATATATATATTTTTTCTTTTACTATTATTACTATTATTATTTTAAAACAATTTTAAAAAAAAACGTACTTGTGGAGTCCTGACGTCACCGCGTAACTAACCCATGCACGTGCCGGCCCCACGAGGACACAGTTCAAGTGTAGAGCGCCATCACCTGTGGGATGAACAAAAGCATACAAAAGGTAATATATGTTCTTCTTAAACATGTATTTCATTGCACAACTTTAGTCAAATTTGTCACTTTTTTCACCGCCGTCCCCCAACTGTTTGTATGGATTTTATGTGTCACTTATTTTGTTTCTTTCAGATAAATCGTGTGTGCTTTTACTTCCAACCGTCATAACTTTTACCAACACGAACCACATTATAGAGATATCTCACGTGACGTCACGATGCCTCGAACTCGCGGGGCATCCGTCATACTGGAGGACAAGCAAACGCTGTATGATAGTGGCGTGCACCCGGGACCGCATAAACATGTTCAACATTTTTGCCGTTTTTGGCTGCAGCAAAAGGAAAGACAGGGAAAATAAGTTGTGTTACCGACTGCCAGCCGTCCTTACTTCACACGGCTCAAAAACAGAAGAAATCTCAAAGAAACGAGAGAGAAATACATAACCATACGCAACAACAAAAAACTAATAGCCCCCAGAGCGCCCGAATATGCTCGGATCATTTCATTTCTGCTAAGTAAAATCAATTTGATGGCGGATTTAGTGTTATTCCGAAACAAACAGAAGTTTAAGGATAAAACATATCTGTCTGACTGCAACGTGGGGTTGCTCCATAGACTGTAGCTTAGCTTGTAACATAGCTGTTATGTATTTGGTCTCACACAGGACCTCATCCGGTTCACAGGGTATCTGACTTACCGAAGGCCAGCAGACATGTGAACGACTGAGCCGTGCTCGAGGGTGCCCCGTACTAGTATTTATTAATAAAATATACGGCTCCTCACAGTAAACGCAGAAAGCTCCATTGACTTGAGTGTAATCTCATTATTTCCACTGCAGTGTAGCCACACATAGATCCATGGTGTAACAATAAACACATTAAATGTTAATCGGAGAATACATTATACATATACATTCTTAATACACGTGCACAGAGGTTTTCAGAATTTTTCTGTTCACGTTTTCATGAAAAAACACTGGGCCTCATTCACGAACGGTTCTTAGGAACAGATTTGTACGTAAATCCTACTTACGCGGTTTTTACGAAGAAAGTGGCATTCACGAATATTTTTCGTAACCAGAATTTCTCTTGGGCAAGTACAAATCCTAGGAGTCCTCAGGAGCACTCGTACGCATTCAGTGCCGACATGTTCACAGCCGGGGTTGTCCTCTTTGGTGAAGTTGAATAAAAATACAACATTCCAGTGATATGTCCGTCATATCGATGTATGTATTTATTTATTTGTAGTAATCTTTATTAGTAATCTTTATTTATATACCGTCTTTTTCACTGCAGATCTGGCCTACTTTTTAATTCATTTTGAAATGAAATGTGCCAACGCTTTATCAAATACATTGGAAATCTTGCCGTGTATTAGTAACCCCTTCCTATTTATAGGGGGCATTTCTTTATCCACGGGCCACAGAACAACGGCATATATACTGCTGCTGCAGGAGGTTACTGGGTCCGCGCTGAGTCTCTGCGCTGGTCTCTCCTATGGATCCATACGGGTCTGCACTGGTGTCTCCCATATACGGGTCTGCACTGGTCTCTCCCATGGATCTAGACGGGTCTGCACTGGTCTCTCCCATGGATCTATACGGGTCTGCACTGGTCTCTCCCATATACGGGTCTGCACTGGTCTCTCTCCATACGGGTCCGTGCTGCATGCTCCTGGATCCTACGGGTCCGCGCTGGTCTCTCAAGTCTGGTCTATGCGGTCTATCTTCGGTCCGCGCTGGTCTCTGCGCACCGGTCTCTCCAGTCAGGTCACTCCAGTCTATGCGGTCTCTCCTATAGGTCCGCGCTGGTTTCTGTGTGCTGGTCACTCCAGTCTCTCCTCGGGTCTGCATTGGTCTCAGCGCTGGTCCGCGCTGGATCTCCTCCCAGGGTCCAAAATATTTTGAGATTAATCTCAAAACATTTTGAGATTCATCTTTAAAATAATACATAATATATTTTTAAATTAAGCTCATAACATTTTGAGATTAATCTCATCATATTCTTAGATTAATCTCATAATTTTGCTAGTTCGACTTTATTATCATAATATTTCGACTTTTAAGTCAACATTTTATAACTTTATTCTCAGTCTGGTAAAAGAAGAAAAAAGGGTGACTCTTTTGCTCCGTGTAACTCTTTGCTTTAGGCCTGTTGTTATTTCCTCTGCCGTCTGCACACGGCCCTGCATCCCCTTATATGGGCATTAGTGGGCGGTTACTTATGCTAAGTACCTATGCTAATGAAGCACCTGGCACGCGCGCTGTACTTACGAGGAAATGGGATTCATCAATCTGAGAGAACAGCTGCGAACAATTCAGCGGCTTACGAGTGCGTTGATGAATCCCACGTAGGGACTTCTTAGAAATCTACTTAAGGACAACTTGAGAAGAAAGTTGAGTAGTTTCTTACGAAGTTATTCGTGAATGAGGCCCACTGTTTTAATGCGACAATATGCGACCGCGGTAAACCTGGATGTAACGATAAACATTAATAATACATTTTAAGACGCATTTCCAGAGGATCTGATTCATGAATTTAGGTTGAGTATATATTTGGGTCACTAACTGCTGAAGTTTCAAATTCTCTGTTCAGTTTTCATGTAGTTCGAGAGAGTTCTAGTTTTGAACGTCCAGTTATAGATAGCTAGCAGGGCTGTTACTCGCCGAGGTTGTCCTCCAGTATGGCTGCCGTGGCTGCTAGTCACGTGACCCCAGGATCCCTCTATAATGCATTTTCGGGAGAGCGGGGTTCTTTGGGGCTAGGTCAAAAACTGCGAATATTATCAGAAAAAAGCTGGGTTTTGCCATAGCCTGGTCGTACCACACCATAGTATAAATCGGGCAGGCTAGGTTTTGCCCCTGTATAGACTGATATTGTAATACATCTATGGTGGTTTCCTACTCGATGGTGCTGTGTTATGTAGGTAATTTTTTCATGTATGAGTACATTTTGTTGGTGTGAAATAAATCAAACACTGTGTCAAAGCCAATACAGTAGCAGGAAAAAGTATCTGAAGCCTGTGGAATTCCTGCTTAAAATAACCATCAAATGTGATCTGATCTTTTTCAAAATCACATGAAAATATACTGTCTGCTTGAACTAAAACCACCCACACATTTATAGGTTCTCAAATTAAAATGTGGATAACATGCAAAGGACAGAACCTGAACCCTCTGCCTTAGGAGACTTTGAGAGCAATTAATGGTATTTTCTTTCTAAAAAATTAATGTGTGTGTCCAATCACTGAGAGCTGTCTGAAAGCTGCCCACTGTAATATGATTGTAAGAAAAAAAAAACAAAAAAAACAATTGTAAACCGCTTTGTGACTCTGGTCTGAGAAAGGCGGTATATAAATAAAGCTTACTTACTTACTTACTTAGCATTGCCTGATGGGCACCATACCTCACTCTAAAGGGCGCTCTGAAGACCTGCCATCAAGAATTGTTGATTTGTCTGAAGCTGGGAAAGGTTACAGAACTCTCTGAGAAGTCTGGATGTTCATCAATCCACAGTTAGAGAAACTGTCTAATGGAGAGAGTTTGGCACTGTTGTTTCTCTCACACGGAATGGCCGTCCGCCAAGAATGACTGTGCAGAATACTCCGAGAGGTTACAAAGAACCTTAGAGCGTCCAAATATCTCTGAGTACACATCTACTATGTAGAACACTGGACAAGAATGATGTACACGAGTAAGTAATTTATATAACCTATTTCACCCTAAGCACTTTACAATGTTCAGAAATCAGATATTTTATTATGTGTCCACAGAGGAAGTCACTGCTGAGTAAAAAATACATTGCTACATGTTTAAAGTTTGCAAAGACCCACGTTTGGACCCATGTTCAAATGCTGAGGTGACACCGGTCAACAATATGAATATGGGGCTAGTTTTATAAGACCTGTGTCAAAAGGTGGAGCCTTCTGCAGGACCAGAGGGGATTGTATGATAACAGACTAGTTTTACATAACGGGTCCCTGTGCTATCTTAGTGCCAACAGATCTGTAGAATCAAAAAGTTAGACTGCAATGATGGGAGGAAATATTCAAATGTTTGTCTGGGTTTTTTTTAATCAACAAATCTATAACCAACACCTTTTTTACCAAGATAGAAATCCACGTTTTATTCCTTGTTTTTTCGTTAATGGTTTGAGAATCATAACGAGAACTTTTGTAGTTCTGCGGTCACATGGTACTTTACCAGTGAGATTAGCTCGACGCGGTGAGTTCTGGCAACCCGGATCACAGACTTTCTGATTGGTGAAACGATGGAGAGTGGCATATAGATAAAAACAAACAATAAAGCAAATTTTTAAACTCATATCTGTGAACTACTGTTATCAGTTAAAGAAGTATTGGAAAAGAGCATGTTTTATTAACGCCTTTTGACAGATTAGGGCCATTTTCTTACATATTCTTACATGCAAATCTTACATATTGCTACTTTAAGTACTGGGATAATGTGTCTATGTGGGCTATTTATCTGAATACCTCTGAAAAGAAACGCTGCTTGTCATCCCTTCCTTCAGAGTATGATTTTCTTTTACAATATTTGTGATCACATTTAAAACTCAATCCACAGATGGATACACAGCTGTTGAAACACATGCATAGCTGCTGAGAATGTTCTGCCAGTGATCCAAAATGTAACTGCCTGGGGTCGCAACATTATGCAGACAAGTAATGTGACTCTGCAATAACACACAAAATGAGAAAAATGTAAAAGTCAAACATAGGCCTATAGACACACAGAGCTAGGAGCTGAAAACTGCTGCCAACCAGATTTGATCAAAACTAATGAAACCCCAGAGAAGCATCTCATTTAGGCCAATATTTTCATAAAAGGGGGAAAAGTTTGAGGCACTAAAAAGCGCAGAAGCTGTCACTCAGTTGCCCGACTTGTGTTTGCAGCTGGCACGGTTCATGTCAGGAGCAAACTAAACATTGGGCTAATCCGCCGTCTCGTTATCACCCTCCGTAGATCGGCCACGGACACGTTTCATTTGTGTGAGTGATGCCTCGACGCAGGTGTAACTGTCCCAGAGAGAGGCTGTGTCCGGCTGGAGAGGCTGGAGAGGCAGGAGAGGCAGATGCTCCACTCTCCTCCCTCATTATGAACACCCTCTGCTGGGCATCCATCTCGGCCGCCGCGCATTTGGACACAAGTCTGACCTTGATATTTGGAATGAAGATTACATGCATTAGAGTTGTTTAGAAGCTGTTACACTGCAAAGAAATTATGAAATATGAGGTGATAATTGCTTGAATTGAGTGATTTTCACTTTAATCTGGGTAAAACAAGATTTGCCAATTGGACAAAAGCCATTCAGTCTTATTCTTATAACTGTTGCTTTATTTTCTCATTCCTTTATTGTATCTTTTTAAAACAAGATAATTTTGCTTGTCCCATTGCCATCTTGTTTTATGGCATTTTTTCATCACTTTTCACAGGGTCGGAAGCTCATTTTGATACTTGATTTGACTTACACAAAAATACAGCCTTTATTCCCTTTCCTTTTTAGTACTATTGTTGTGGCCTGTAGTATTATGCAGTATGACAAAACAGGAAAAACATTTAAAGAGCATCAATCTCTTATACCAGCTCCAAGCCAATGAATGTCTATTAATCATTTAATTTTATCATTTCATACAAAACAACAAAATCGAGTTAAGAAGGCAAAAATATGCCCAAAAGGATAAATTGGCGAGGTCTGTCTACATGTTACATTATAATAGGACTCCCAGAATGATGAAACTACTATCGGAACTCCCAGAGCGGTCATTTTTACTGCTCCCATTCAAACCACTAACATTCCGAGAAATTCCTCCCAAAAAGGTACATTTTTTAACTCACTTTACAAAGAGACTGGTGCGTATATAACTTGAAATGCAGCAAAAGGCTACCAAATGCTAATGTCTGGCAAGTAAACAGTGTGTTGCTATGGTAACTATGGTAACTAACATTTGTAACAATAAAAGAGGATTTCATAATAATAATGGCGTAGAAATTAAACCACACAGAGAAACAGAAAAAGTCACAATGTTACATATTCAGTCTAGACATTGGTCTGAAATGTTTGGCTGTATTTCTATCATGCATATGTATTCAAATGAGAGTCAAGACCCCCAGTGCTTTGGCGTACCATCTTTCAAACCTCTGTCTTTCCCGTATGTGGCAGGTGGTGGTGCGTTGATGGCTGCGTCTCACGGTGAACAGGTTGCATTGCCGCAGAGAGGAATGAGCTGGCAGCAGGACTGACGGCTGAGGGGAAGGTCTTTGTGGTCAGGGGGGGCCGCCCACTCATCTGCTCCACAGTTAAACATGTAGGAGTCCGGCCTGCCTCCTCTCTGTCATTCACTCAGCAATATTATGAGATCTTACTAATTCTCATTCGTAAATGATGAGAAACACGGTAAGAGAACAAGAGATATGTTTCTTAGCTAGCTGTAAGATAAGATAAGATGTGCTTTATTTATCTCACATAGGAGAAATTTACATGTCACATTTGGCATGGATAGAGACACTCAGATTGTGCAAAAGGAGGAAATGTGCAAACATTTTACATGCAGGATATATGTACAATAAAAGTGACAATAATTATGTACAACAAAAGTGTGGGCGGGAGCCAGGGCAGGAGCTTGAGGAGGCGCTGGGGAGGTGGTGGGTGTTAAGAGCTTTTAGAAGGTAGGAAGTGGCTGCTTTTAAACTGCCCACTTTGCTGTCAGTATGTTGGCAGGGGGGCTGGCCGAGCTGTGTGATTGGCTGAGGCTGACCCTGGATGGGGTGAGAGCTGCAGCAGAGGTCTTCACAGTCTGAATTTACGCCTAAACTTCATATTCCCAGAATAAACTCAAACTTGTTGATTAGAGCCTGCTTTTCACTATTGTTTCAACCTGGCCGGCAAAGTATCAGCATCTGTCCCACTCAAAAGTGCTACTTTTTATTATCTGTTCAATTTATTTATAATTTAATTTGTATTGTTTAACGTATAATTAAAATATTTCCTTAAACTTTCAAACATGCTCAAACTATTTGTCTTTTCAGAATGTTGGTCTATATTCTTCCCCCTGGTTCCATGAGATTTCAGGTAAGCATTTTTATTCACCATTATGAGACTCGTTGCCTTGTCCGTCCAGTTTTATTATCAAAGTTGAATTGTTTACTTGTCTTCTATTGTACAAAAATGGACATAGTATTACATCAAAGAAGAGCACAAAGTGGTATCGGTACAATGATGAAACATATTTTTGTAATTATTATGGTTTGGTCTCAGAAAATGTGAAACATGACATGCTTTTGACATGACGTGGGAACAAAATATCAGACTGACCAATGTATTTTACACCTGTTCAATTGAATTTGTTCAAACTTGTCACATTCTTCGCCATCATATCCGAATGGTGCTGCTCTGACGCTGTTACAGTTTGGACACAGACAGCTGGTCACCGCTGGAAGCTCTCAGTCTCATTAATACTGACAGTGACGCAGACTCATTACTCATGTGCGTCCTAGTTTGTTTAATCAATGATGTGACAGATGACACACAATCACACACACACACAAGCGCACACGCGTACAGTCAATTTTTAAAAGCCTCCAGTTGTATTTATAGCACCTCCATTGTGTTTTCTTGTCTTTAATATGGATAGAAATGGCCAAAAGTAATTGAGTGTAACTACATACCCGCGGCTGTCTGAGGTTTGCGCCAAACCCGTGGGAAATATACAGTACAGTGCATTTAAGTGACTCACTCATTTGTTTTGTTTTGTCTTGTAATGTCACGAGTCTCCAGCAGGGGGCATTGCCGTTCCAGTAATCCGGCGTATGAAAAGTGAAAACGTCTATTAACAGCATCTGAACATATTGTCACTGTGGGGTGTCTGAAGATTTCTACAGAATATTTTTTAACCAAAGAGCACCCATTTTAAAGGGATCATGCTCCTTGTATAAATAGGAATAACTTTAAGAACAGGATTCACTAGTACTCACAAGCACTGTCTTTATGTGTCCCCTTGAAAATCTGTAATTAACAGTGATTCTGAACTTTACACATTGTTTGTGTTTTTTTTATATAATGCTTATATCTCCAGCTTTACCTTTGTCATTAGACTCGTAATTGAATGTAGTTTGTGTCTTTTCACAAAATGCAGACCCTTTTAAATATGCAAATATTCGATTTGGTAAAGACTGATCCAGGCAATCTGTCACTACTACAATTGTCTGAATAAAGTATTCAGTGCTTGTTTTACTTATCACTTGTTTTTTCAAATGCAGTCTTGTTAACACAACTGCTGTAGTTGAAGCTGGAAAATGTTCTACTTGGTTTAGAAAAGTGATGACTTTTCTAGGAACTGCTTTTATTGATACTGTGCCAGTTGAAAATCAAAATGATGTGACTTCAAAGGGATGAAGGGAGAGATTGTCAAGTAAAAAAACAAAGTGAAATGAGCAATAAGAGGATGAGTGCTTTTATGTTTCCTCTGCCCATTAACCTTAAAGAAGTGATTGTGCCAAAACATGGCACAATGTTTTGTGTCGCCTCTGGGACAGGTTTTTTTCACTTTAAGATCCTGGCCCCTCAGTATCTTTAGTTTCCATCATTTCCAGGATAACACACGCTCGGCTGTTTTTAAATTTATACATTTATAAATAATACGCTTCCCTTGCCTTGATGTATTTTTCTGGATGATTGCTGCTTTTAAGTTAAAATGCAGTTCCTTTTTATATTACCTTGAGCACAGTTGGTTTTTGAAAAATGTATTCAGCATGGAGCACAAACAGCCTCTCCTGGCTCTGAGCTTGCCTCTAAATGCTCATATTGATCCAGACTCCTACTTTCTACTACAAAGCATCTCCGAGTCCTCTGCTGGCGTGCACTGTTGTGGTGATTTATGTAGTCCACGGGCAGGACGCCTTGTCATCCCCCTCATTTGGTATTAAACAGCTACAAGCTCAGCCCTGGCTCTGTGCTATCTCTGTGTACGGTCCCAGCAGTCCATCATCCCACAGCACATGCAGGCAGCTTTGAAGTTCATAAAGTGTGAAGCGGAAGGCGGGCTCATCTGATGGTCACCGCTGTTGAGGTGGAAAGGCTCGCTCGCTAAAGCCAGTGATGGTGAGAGGAGCGCAAACATGCACACGAGAGTCATGTTTCTGTCGCTGTTTAGCCAGTGTGGAGGAAGCATTAGAACCATTGAAAAACTACTTTAATCTCCAATATTTCTTAGAGAGGATGCTGCTTTGACTGTATAATGGCTTTAAAAGTTATTTTCACCTCTGATTTGCTTATGGAAATTCCATGTATGTATCTATAGGAAATGCAGTATAAATCAAAAATAATTATATTATTATTATATAACAGTTGCATTGTGTATAAAGAAACAGCACCACTGTAAATATATTACAGATTTAAAACCATTTTTGAAGCAGACCAAATGAGTTAAATGAATATGTAATTAAAATTCATAAGGAATTGCCATTTGCATTGGGTCAAAATCAGTTGTCATTCTAATGCAGGGCAGCATAGATCCTGAACACGTCAGTATTCAGCCTCACTGCTGCCGTCAGTGCGCGTGTGTGAGTGTAAATTCCATGTAAAGCAGATGTAGAAAAAAAGAGTTCACTTGACCCCAATATATGCCCACCACCTCCTGAAAATTGCTTTTGCTTTGCCCCTTCCACTTGATATCTTTTTGTCAATCACAGAAGTCTGCTTTTGCCTCGTGTCAGTGCATTGTCAGCTTAAACATGGAGCACATATGCCGCCTCAGCAGCTGTCTCCTGTAAGAAAACCATGCAATGAAACGGAATATGTTCGTGCTCCTGACACTTTTCAACTTAAAAAAGAAAAAAAAAAAACAGAACAGTGTCAGTCGGTTGGGCAAACACCTCATATCAGAGAGAGATGCCCAGATTAAGACAATGTGTAATACATGTAAATAATAACAACAGAAAGCAGATTATAATTTGTTTTTTGTTTTATAGTTTAGACTAATGCTGTTCAGTTAAAGGGAAAGTATTAAATTGTTTGGTATTTTTTTTATTTTTGTGTTTATTTTAGGGGGGGTGCACCATAGACCTGGGCCAATCCAAGGATAGTTTGGAAGGCTTGGCATTAGAGTTCAGCCGCACTCCACACCTCCACTTCCTCCACACTGGCTAAACAACACAGTTGCATTGTGTATAAAGAAACAGCACCACTGTACAGTACAAACATATTTTTTTTCCACGCTTCAGACAAGAGCGCATTTGAACTTGTCCTTATCCTTGTCCTATAACATGGACTCCTCTTGATCACATACTCCAGATTTTCATTTATTCTCAACCGCCAAACATGAAGAAAAAGAACTCTTGATCCTTTTCTCTCAGGAGTGAAAGCCCACTCACCTGGCGCATTGGACGATCAATGCTGTAATGAGTTAAAGAAGCAGTAAGATAGATTTGACGGTGAGGCGCTGAGACTCAATGATAAGCACTTACTGAAATGTCACATATTTGATCGATAATATAACCGTTTTGCTTCATAATTCAGAGCACCTCGCTATACAGCCATATAAAACCCATTGCCGTGTTGGAGAAAAGGATAGAATATGCCTTGAGGTGATGGTATTTCCAAATGGCCGGCCTATTGTGCTGTCAGGAAGCCGTCCAACAGTGTGTGATGCTGAACAAACTCATAAAAAGCAGACTATAGAGCGGCTGAACTCTGATGCCAAGCCTTTATTTACTACACTTTTACCAGGCAGGCCTCTGAATCAGCTCCTCTGTGCTCTGACTTATGGCTCGCACAACAATGAAGGACAACTCTTTCATTTTGCTCTGCGGTCGTCAAAGGCTCTGACTCACGAGCTGCTGTCTTCAAGGAGCCAGCCGTCACAATCTCCCCGCGACTAGTTTGTTGAATGTAGAATATGTAGGAGAACGGTAGTCAATCAAAAACACTATCTGTACTTGTGGTATGTGATCAATAATGTATGCATACTTTTAAAATCTAAGTTTGAAAAGCTAAATGGTAAAATCAAATGTTGCAAATGCAAACATGAACGAAAGACCTGTAATAAATATACAAGTTCAGAAATGACTGCAGAAAATACTGCACACGTGGCACAGAACCTAATCTAATGTAATCACCATTAGCCAACAGTCTTACTAATATAATATATCTTATTCTATAGATTTCCAAACTTTATTCCACCAAGATCTACTTTTCCAACTGTCAGTGAAACAACCTCATTTCGACTCATCAACCCCCAAGCTGTAAACTGTAAATCTCAAATACTGTAAATATGGCCCAACATTTTTGTT